TCAGAAAATAAAAAAGGTTTGTGATTGTTTGATGTATTGATTAGTTCATTCCCATCTTTTGTCATTTAATTCTAACTATGGCGTCATCAACATGATTGTTCAATTAAAAAAACAAGGTTGTGATCAGGGGTGGACCCACGCTTTAAGGACAATTACTGCCCCATGTATCACAGGTTCGAAACCTTGGTCTATCCTTACTCTTCGTTTTTCAACTTTTTCCACACATTAGTATATTTAGTCTCTTTTTCTTGTTGCTAAGAAAGGAATCACTTTTTTATTAAACAAGTTTTCCTTTCTCATATCTAATAGAGTTTTTCCCCTTCTATTAATAATAGTTTTACCTTTTATAAGATAAAAATTACTCTGTTTTAGTTTTAGTTTTACTTTAACAATTATTTTTACTTTTTTGTCAACACATTTATTTGTATTAAGCTTGTATTTTCAATACTCAAATTAAATTAACAACTAAAATGAAAAAAAAAACATAACAAAATTTCTTATGGTATAGAATAATGTAATATTAATCAATAATATTTTATATTATAAGAAAATATTAACTTTTGANTTGTATTTTCAATACTCAAATTAAATTAACAACTAAAATGAAAAAAAAAACATAACAAAATTTCTTATGGTATAGAATAATGTAATATTAATCAATAATATTTTATATTATAAGAAAATATTAACTTTTGAGTTGATTTTAGTTTTTTATTTTAAATTAATGTTGTTTCTAAATCGTAACATAATATAATAAAAATTACAATACTTTAATTTTTAAAATAATTTTAATTTACTAAATTATAAATCTATTTTAGTAAATATAATAAAAATTAACTACATATTCATATATTGTGTCCCAAGTTGAATGAGTTTCTGGATCAGCCCCTGGTTGTGATTGTTTGATGTATTGATTAGTTCATTCTCATCTTTCGACCACTTAATTAATCTTACTGAGAGAATATTACAATACTGTTTGTTATTGTCTAGTATCAAATGTCAAAATGCATCTTTTTAAAAGGGAAATTAGCTGAAATAGCCATGAAAAAAAATTAAATTCAGTAACTAACTAAAATCTCCCCATTCTCTCTTCATTTTTCTCCCTATCTCTCTCTACTCTCTCACTAGAAAACTAATTTTCCTTTTTTTTTTGGTTATGAACGATTCATAAATTAACTTCAGAAATTAAATCTTAAACACTAAACCTAAAATCATAACATAACAACATTAACATTAATATCATCCGCTAAATCTTTACTAATGAATTCTACAAACTAAACCTAAAATCTAAACACTAAACATAAAGCTTAAATTCTAAACTATAATTACCGCATCACCAACATAAACACTATATTAATTTTAACCTAAACTATACTTGAAACCCTATATCATTGACTATAAATCCTAGATCCTAGACCCCTAAACTTCGTAAGTTTAAACCTAAATCAATCATATACCTTAAAAATTAAAAGTAAACATTTAAGTAAATATTAGATTTAGGGTATAGGGTTTAGTTTAAATATAGGGTTTAGGGTTTGAATTAAGGGTATAGGGTTTAAACCCTAAAATTAGGGTTAGGGTTAAGGTTTTAGGGTTTAAACCCTAACCTTAAAATTGGGGTTAGGGTTTAGGGTTTAAACCCTAAAATTAGGGTTAGGGTTTAAACCCTAAAATTAGGGTTAGGGTTTAAACCCCAAAACCTAACCCTAAACCCTAACCCTAATTTTAGGGTTAAAACCCTAAACCCTAACCCTAATTTTAGGGTTTAAACCCTAACCCTAACCCCTAATTTTAGGGTTTAAACCCTAAACCCTAACCCCTAATTTTAGGGTTTAAACCCTAAACCCTAACCCTATTTTAGGGTTTAAACCCTAACCCTAATTTTAGGGTTTAAACCCTAACCCCTAATTTTAGGGTTTAAACCCTAACCCCTAATTTTAGGGTTTAAACCCTAAACCCTAACCCTATTTTTAGGGTTTAAACCCTAACCCTAACCCCTAATTTTAGGGTTTAAACCCTAACCCTAATTTTAGGGTTTAAACCCTAAACCCTAACCCTATTTTTAGGGTTTAAACCCTAACCCTAACCCCTAATTTTAGGGTTTAAACCCTAACCCTAATTTTAGGGTTTAAACCCTAAACCCTAACCCTATTTTTAGGGTTTAAACCTTAACCCTAATTTTAGGGTTTAAACCCTAAACCCTAACCCCCAATTTTAGGGTTTAAACCCTAAACTCTATTTTTAGGGTTTAAACCCTAAACCCCAATTTTAGGATTTAAACCCTAAACCCTATCCCTAATTTTATGGTTTAAAATAAAGTTCAAATTTATGCATTAAAAAAAATTATATTTTCTAATTTATATTATCAAAGCTGAGCCTCAATGTTATTTTTTTGAAACACTAACCTCACTCTAAATGTGTATTAATGTATGCTATACATATTTTTATGGTATCTGGACATCATTTCAAAATTTTCAACAATTAATTTATTTTAATTTTATATACGATCTATTTAGTGGATCTCTAATTTCATATATGTCTATAAAATATTATTTTATAGAGAAACGAAAACTCCAAAAGTCTAAAATCTCTTTAATCTACATACTATGTCAGTTTATGATATAGCTATTCATTCAAACAAAAATATTTTATTTCGTAATTTATCTTTAAATATTTGGGTTAATCTCTTTAAAAAAATTGAATTTCTGATAAATGTTAAAATTTGACCTCTTTAGTTTTCTTTAAAAATAGCTAACCACATTCAAAAGTGTATTAATATACTTATTTTCAACGTACTTATTAAGTTTTGTTTTAAAATATCTAATTGCATTGGGATGGTTTGATGTATTGATTAAGTTCATTCCCATCTTTCGACCACTTAATTAATCTTACTGAGAGAATATTACATTACTGTTTGTTATTGTCTAGTATAAGTGTCAAAATGCATCTTCTTTGAAATAGTTGTCAGTATCTTGACATTTTTTTCTATGTTCTCTCATTAGTTACTTACAGTATTTACAGTGAACATTTTAATAAAATTTCATACCACCTAAATCAAAAAACTAAATCCTATAAAATATTTAAATTCTAGAGAAATTGGGACAATAAAAATGTGAGATATCTTTGATCTTCATCATATATATGCGCTGGATGTATCTATGCATTAATAGAAAAGTATCATATTTTTTAATTTATCTTGAAATATATAGGTTAACCCCTATAAAAAATAAGTTTTCCGATAAATGTTATATACTGAAGTTTAGGTTTTTTTGTTGATTAAAAATACATATTAACATTTACACTAATGTATTTTAAACTTATTTTCATGGTACATGGACATCATTTTTAATATTTTGATGATCAATTTAAGAAAACTTTATATTTCACCTAATTTAGTGGATTAACTTTATATACGATCAATTTAAGAAAACTTTATATTTCACCTAATTTAGTGGATTAACTTTATATATGATCAATTTAAGAAAACTTTATATTTCACCTCTATAAAATCTGTATTTTCTTGAAAAACAGAGACAATCAAGGTATCATACCTCTTTAATCGTCATCACATGTCAGTGTATGATGAATTTAAGCATTAAAACAAAAATATCTTATTTTCTAATTTATCTTACGTAAAGATCGAGTTTGTTTCCAATAAATGTGATATATACTAAAATTTAGCCTCATTAATGTTGTTTTAAAAATATCTAACCACGATCTAGATGTATATTAATGTATGCTAAACATAATTTTATGATATCTAGGCATCATTTCTAATTTTCTAACGAGTAATTTATTTAAACTTCATATACGACCTAATTAATGGATATACATTTAAAGTCTCAAACCTCTTTAATTTTCATATTATGTTAGTGCATAATGCAGCTAGGCATTAAAACAAAAATACCATATTTTATTTTTTACTTTTATCATGAAATATTTGGGTTTAACTCCCTACGAAAAGATTGAATATTCCGAGAAATGCTACCTACTATTTAGCATCTTTAGCGTTGTTTAAAAATACATAAACACACTCTAAATTTAGATATATATATATATATACTGAACTTATTTTTATGGTACATGGAACTCACTTCTAATTTTTCAATGAGTAATTTATTTAAACTTTATATACCACCTATTAAGTGTACTATAAAAACTTTTTTTCTGGAGAAACGAGAAAACTTAAGGTCTCAAACCTCTTTAATCCTCATATTATGTTAGTCCATGATGCAAATATGCATTAAAATAAAGATACCGCATGATATGTTCTCTCCTCCCGGCGCCGAAGCTATCGAGAAAAAATCCCTATACCAGTACTCGATAGAAAATAAATGAAAAACAGAAAAAAAAAAACAAGTTTTCCTCGTCTCTTAAAGCAAAGGAAAATGAGTAAACCCCTATAAAAAGATCAAGTTTTCTGAGGAATATTATTTATATTAAATTTATCTTGAAATATGTGGGTTAACCCCTATAATACCTAATCATATTAAAAAATTTATATTAATGTACTAAACTTATGTTTATGATATAGGGGTATCAACTCTAATTTTTAACCTAGGAATTTAATAAAACTCCATATACCACCAAAATCAGTGAACTAAACCTTATGAAATCTCTATTTTCTATAGAAACTTGAACAACTAAGGTATTAGAACTCTTTGATATTCATCATATATCAATGTTGGACACAGCTATGCATAAATACAAAAAAAATATTCTAATTTACCTTGAAATCTGTGAGTTAACCCTTACGGAAAGATCGTTTTTTCTGATAAATTCTAGTTTTAATTAAGTTTAGTCTCTTCAGTGTTGTTTAAAAATATCTAACCACCATTAAAAAAATATATACTAATGTATGCTAAATTTATAGTTTGTCTAACCAGTAATTTAATAAAACTTCATATAGCACATAGATCAAAGAACTAAAACCTATGAAATATAGAGAAATTGGACAATAAAAGGTGTCAGACATCAGCAAAGATTGATCGGCGGAGAAGATGGAGTTCTGTCCAACGTGTGGGAACTTGCTGCGTTACGGTAATTCACAGTTCTTCTGCTCGACATGTCCTTACATTGCCCGCATCGAGAGACAGGTTTTTCTTTGATTCTGACTCAAACTAATCAAAAACCACTTCATTTTTTTTTTTTTTGGAGATAAGAGTTTTATATCTCTCTTGGGTATATGATGTGAATCCAGGTAGAGATAAAGAAGAAGCAATTGCTGGTTAAGAAATCCATTGACCCGGTTGTGATGGAAAGATGATATACCGAAAGGACCTGAAACTGAAGGTATTCTTTTCGCTAGTCTGAAACTTTCTGAACATGGTTTGATCTATTAGTAATCGATGTTTGATTGCGAGTGCAAGTGATGATAGTAAGCGGAAATCAATAAAACACTTGATTTAGCGAGTAACCACTAACCAGAGTAACAAGTAGATGGAGTTATAAAGCATTTTTTAGAACTAGTTAGGAATCATTGATTGTTTGTTGATACAGCGCCATGCCCAAGATGCGGGCACGACAAGGCGTACTTCAAAACAATGCAGATTCGTTCAGCGGATGAGCCAGAATCGAGATTTTATAGATGTGTCAAGTGCGAGCAAACTTGGCGCGAGGAATGATCTACGGCTTTGATCTATTCTAAACATATTTTATGTTGCCTTTTGAGTTTTTTTTGTTGGTTCTACCATTGTCAGCACTTTTGTTTGGGATTTTTCTTAATCAACGGAAAAGATGTATTAACATATATATCATCAGCTGATATTGTATCATCTGAATGGTTTGGGTCTGAGGTGAATAGGTGTTAGGGAGAAGGCGGTCTCTATTGTTGGTGCAATTCTCCTTTCAGTCTGCTGATTCCAAGCCTCATAAAAGGGTGACAACAGTAACTGCTGAGGAATGCATTAGGTATGGTAGGGGTTAGAAGGGGATTTGGTGAAGGTGATTTGGCTATCAACCTTTTGACGTGAAGAGCAAGTTGAAGATGAGGAAGAAGAAGATTCTGATACGGTGACTATATGATCGATCATGTTCTGTGATGGAATAGTGTCAAAAAATGCCTAAGTAGAAACTGAACGTCACCGTTGCATGCTTAAAAAAAAAGCAGTCGTCCTCTTTCAATTAAAACCAAACCGGAAAAGTCCGCGAGAGAGGGACTTGTGAGTTTCCCTATATAAAGCTTCCTTTTGACCGAAGAATCAACGTATTGAAGAAAGCCAAGGCTAGGGCCCAATAGTAGATTCAGATAAAAGAGACCCCACGCGGATTGACGTGGGAGACGCGATAATATTATTACCCAAGACGGTGTGAGAAGCCGAACCCTAAATTTCCACGAACATGTCGCCGAAAATGGGATCGATCTTTGCTCAGGTGCGTCGAGAATCCGATCGTGGTATTCTCTGTTAAATTTGGGCTTTCACTAAATTTTTGTTTGTTCGGTTGGGTCTCGACAGGTGTATAAAAAATCTGTATCGATGGGGCGTAGCCGCAATTTCTCTTCATCCCCAACTAACAGCAGCAAAGGTAAATTTGTGTGATTTGCTATCAGATGTACATCATTCGAGACCTTTTATTTTTGAGAAAAAAGTGTGTGATTTTCTCCAATAATTTGTGATTGTAGAGTCGAAGAACATAGCTTTAGCGAATTTTTTTGTAACTCGAGCCCTAGGTGTTGCCATTGGATATCTCAGTGGTACGTATAGAGAGGGAGAGGGACAGAGATTTTTATTGTCTTTATTTTATTTTATTAATACTCTCTTTTTTCTTTGTGTGTGTGTGTGATTGTATCAAGGCCATTATCTAATTGGTGATCTGGATAAGATATGTGAGGAGCGGATGCAGGAGGTATAAAATGAATTCAAAGAAGCACTTGATGTGACCATAATATCTAATCTTCACCATCTCTTCTCGTGTTGACAGGATCTGAGGAAGGCAAGGAGCACGACGGAGTTGTTGACCAATGTTTCTAAACTCTCCAACAAGTCAGCCAATTAATTGGCTTTTGCTGTGTATAATGTGTGTGTGTGGTTTTGTCAAAACTTAAACTCTTTTGTCTCTGAGATTGCTTTATTTTTTTTCGATCTATCAAAATATTTAATTTCTTGTGTGTTTTTGTGGGACCAAAGAGTATGTAATTGGGAATGCTTTTAAGGTGGAGAACGTTTGAAAATCAAATCATGGAACTGCTTGTAGAACATTTATCAAAGGTTCCTAACTATAATTTAGTATGTACAGATGCCAAGGCTCCAAATGATTATGTTTCACTAGCTCGGTGAAAAATCTTATACGCACCTCTTGCCAGAAAACTGTTGCAATAACCAAATTACTTGCTTCACAAATGCATAAACCCGCCCGCGTAAGAGATCTATAGCGTTACAATTCCCTTCAACTAAAAGAGTAACAAGGCATTTTGCTTGCATGACTCTCCATTGGAAACAGAACCCTAAATTTACCCCAACATGTCGCCGAAAATGAGATCGATCTTTGCTCAGGTGCGTTGAGAATCCGATCGTGGTATACAGAATGAATAGTTCTCTGTTAGATTTGTGCTTTGTCTAATATGACTGGTCTCGACAGGTACATCGGAAATCGCTTTCGATAGGGTCTCGCCGGAATTTCTCTTCATCCGTAGGTGACAGGAAAGGTAAAAGGTTGTCTGATTCTATCCTCTTTGGATCGTGATGTTTTTGATGTAATTTGGATTATTTTATTTCCGATTGCAGCTTCTTCAGAGTCGAACGTTTCTGGTTTTGAGATGGCTAATAAGTTAAGCTTTGTCGATTCGGTGAGGCTTGGATTCTTTGCTTGGGGATCTTTTGGTAATGTCTAGATATAATATATATAGATAGATAGATATATAGATAGATAAAAAGATGATATAAAATGCGCATTTGCGATTGCTAATTCTTCCTATGCATTACCCTCAGGGATGTACAAGCTTTATAAATACTACTATCCGAAGCTGCTGATAAGTCAGGAAGAATATAATATCCTGGTACAACGTCAGAACGAACTGGTATGATTACATGTGTGTGAGAGACCAAAATAACTAATGGAGAATTAACATCTTGTGCTCTCCTCTTATTTCAGTATGCGCAGCTGAAGATGGAGAATTCCATGGAGAATTCTCGCAAGTCTCCCTAAATGAACTCTGAAGAAATGTTTTTATGCTGTGAACATCGACCAAAATAATGAATAGATGCTCGCATTGTTTTTGTCGTTTGTTTTTCTGTAATTTGCACCTTCTGTTTGTTTGCTCTTCATGTCTCCTCTTGAGGATCGATGTTTTCATTTAAGTGTTGTTCTAAACTATTTGATTCAGTGAAACTTGAAATCCTGGTCTTTGATCTTTTTCTTTACTAGAAAGAGACTCGTTTCTTCCTTTGTAGGGGTACTTTGTAGATTACTACCATATATAATAAAAAAAACACACACACGGGGTATTTACCTGAAGGAAGTCACCAACAACCCCAGGAGGAAGCCTCAAACACATTGGCCTCCCGGGAGGAGGGTGTGGATTGCTTAAACCATGACCACCACTTAGTTTATGCCTTTTGGCTTTCGTAGAAATCTCATCAATAACTTCTTCCCTGAAATGCCTGAGGTTTTGCAACAAGAGCTCGCTTGGATCCAAGGATGGAAATCTGATGGGAAAACTGGTGTTGCCCAGGTTTGATGGGAAGCCAAAACCTATAAAGTATGCGCTCTACCAGATTCAGAAAGCTTCGAATGCGTCATTGAATGTTCAAAAACAAGGAACCATCAGTGCTTTACAATTACGGCTAGTATTTTCTTAAATACCCGTGTAAAAAAAAAAAAAAAAAAGTCCGAACAGAAAATCTAACAACTCATATCAACAACTCAACATACATATATAATACTCCAAGGGCCTGGGTCTCCGTGCTCTGAACAGGTCCCAGTTGGACGAAATACTCTTTCCTGCTGCATGTGAGATCGTTTCTTCTCTCTCCAACCATCATTTGGACTCTGAGTCCAGCTTCTTTGATTACCCTTACAAAGTCATCATCAAGACCACCAAGCTCCTCCTCTCCTCTTCTTAAGCTGGCTGGCCGATGAGCTCTCTCTCTCTCTCTCTCTCTCTCTCTCTCTCTCTCTCTCTCTGAGTGTCAATTCTGTTAAGTACACTCGTGGCTCCTTCCTCTGCCCTGGCGGCCAGCCTTTTCCTCACCGAACAAGTCTCTGTTCTTGATGGCCACTTTGAACAGCGTTGCCTACTTGATGGGAAATGATGATGATGATGAGACTAAGAAATGGCATGTTTACGCTGACTGGTCTGGTCTAGACAGGGAGAAAGCCTCTGTCTTCTACAAGAATGAAACTGGCCAGACTGGATCAATGACTGACAACTCTGGAATCAGGAAGATCCTCCCTCAGTCCCAGAGAGTTCGAGCCATGTGGCTACTCGATTGAAGGAGATTATGCCTATAGAACTTAAGACTGCAAATAAGAAATTAACTCTTCTTATTTAAACTCAAGGAAACTTGCACAAAACCTCAAGCTCTCAAACTCTCAAACTTCTATATTTTGTGTCACAACTCGACACCTCAATATATAGATGTTATAAACCCTAATCCTAGTAGATAAACATAACTTTAGATAACTCCTAATTATATTATGTAATTNTCTCAAACTCTCAAACTTCTATATTTTGTGTCACAACTCGACACCTCAATATATAGATGTTATAAACCCTAATCCTAGTAGATAAACATAACTTTAGATAACTCCTAATTATATTATGTAATTATCTCCATCACTCGGTAGGATTAGGTCTCTATCTTCTTTCTCAAGCTTCTCTTTTATTCAAGCTTATCTCAACAATCTCCCCTCTAAGCTTGAACTCGATCTCTTCTAACTCTTGAACTCCAATGAGACTTCTCATTTCCTTGAACTTAATTCTTCCAAGTGCTTTGGTTAATATGTCTGCCCTTTGTTGATTGCCCGGTACATGTTCTACTTCGATCCAGCCAGCCTCTACACACTCTCTGATGAAGTGGTATCGAGTATGTATATGCTTACTGCGACCGTGGAACACCGGGTTTTTCGTCAAGGCTATAGCTGATTGATTATCTATCTTTATGACCACTTTCTCGCACAATGTCTCATCTATCTCACCAAGTAAATCACTCAACCAGATAGCTTGTCTAGCCGCCTCCGTCCCTGCCATAAACTCTGCCTCACAAGAGGACAATGCCACCGTATCTTGCTTCTGTGAACACCAGGTTATAGGACTTTCGCCTAAGTAGAAAACATGTCCCGTGGTGCTCCTACCGTCATCTGGATCGACATTGTGACTACTGTCACTGTAACCAACCAAGTGAGCCGCCTTTGATCTCGTGAATGTAAGACCGAGTGTTGTCGTTCCTCTGAGATACCGTAAGCACTGCTTCATAGCTGCTCCATGCGACGCTTTAGGCCGTTGCATATAGCGGCTTAGAACACCTACACAATAAGACAAATCCGGTCTTGTGTGTAACAGATACCGGAGACAACCAACATTCCTTCTGTAACTAGTAGCATCAACGTCTTCTTCTTCCTCTGCTCGGGACAACTTCAGGTTAGAGTCCATTGGCGTATGCACTGGGTTACACTCCCTCATTCCTGCTTCTTCGAGAATCCTCAACGCGTAGTTCCTCTGATTCAAGATTATGCCATCATCATGCTGTATCACCTCAATTCCTAGATAATAGGTCAAGCGTCCTAGATCACTCATTTCAAACTTTGACGCCATCTCTGCTTTGAAGTTAACAATAAGCTCCACACTCGTACCAGTCACAAATAGATCGTCCACATAGACAGCAACAAGTAAGAGACTTGCATTTGTCTTCTTCACATAAACTGAAGGCTCCTTTTTGCAACGCCTGAAACCAAACTCCTTGAGGATACCATTTAGCTTATCGTTCCACGCACGAGGTGCTTGTCGCAAACCGTAGAGTGCCTTGTTGAGCTTGTACACTTTTGTCTCAGAGCCTTTTACTATGTAACCGTCTGGCTGTGTGACATATACTCTCTCCTTTAAGTCTCCATGCAAAAATGCCGTCTTCACGTCAAGATGATGTATCTCCCAACCTCTAGATGCTGCAATATTTATCAGTAACCGTATCGTCTCTATTCGAGCAACAGGAGCAAACACTTCTTCGAAGTCTACTCCATACCTCTGCACATAACCTTTGGCTACGAGTCGTGCCTTATGCTTATTTATGCTGCCATCGGAGTTTCTTTTCAACTTGAAAACCCATTTTAACCCGATTGCCTTAGCACCGCTGGGAAGATCAACCATAGTCCACGTACCGTTCTTTACAATGGAATTGATCTCATCCTCACACGCCTTTCTCCACTCTTCAGAATGCTCTGCTTCATAAAAGTCTCTTGGTTCATCGTTAATGCTCATTAGTAGGTGCTTTCCTTCCTCTTCTGCGAACAAAACGTAATCATCAAGGTATTTAGGCAATGAGATTTGCCTTGTTGATCTCCTTAGAGGAAAACTCTCTTCCTCGTCCTCTTCACATGTTTCTTCTTTCTCACTCTCATCGTCACTAATCTCCACTACTCTGTTTCCATCTTCTACCCGTGGAGCCTCTTCTGTTACCGTAGGAATATCAAGATTCCCAATTGTAAAGCTTCCTGCCTCACTCTTTTCTGTAGCGTCTTGACTCCAATTCCAACCCTTTGTCTCATCAAAAACAACATCTCGACTGACCACAATTTTTTGTGTTCTTGGATCAAACATACGATACGCCTTAGAGCCTGGTTCAGTACCGAGATGTACTAACATGCTTGAACGATCTTCCAGCTTCTTCAGGTGAGGTTTCACCGTCTTAGCATATCCAATGCACCCAAATATTCTCAAATGACTCAAGTTTGGCTTCTTGTTTCTCAACATCTCGTAGGGAGTTCGATCCTTCAAGGCTCTGGTAGCGACTCTGTTCAGAACATAAGTAGAGTGTCTTGTTGCCTCTGCCCAAAGATAATTCGGAACCAACATATGTTTCAGTATACTCCGAGTCATCTCCATCAGTGTCCGATTCCTTCGCTCGACAACTCCGTTTTGTTGAGGCGTATAGGGAGCAGTGAGATGTCTTCTAATGCCATTTTCTTGACAGAACGTGTTGAACTCATGAGATACGAACTCTCCTCCTCTGTCTGTTCTGTACATCTTTATCTCTGCCGAGTTTTCTTGCTCCACAAGCTTCTTAAAGGTTTTGAATTTCTCGAAAGCCTCGCTCTTCTCCTTGAGCAGTAAGGTCCACATATATCTGGAATAGTCATCTATAAGCACAAGGATGTACCTATTTCCAGACTTCGTAGTAGGTGAAATAGGACCACAAAGATCTCCATGTATCAACTCGAGTGGCTTGCTAGCTCGGTAAGAAGTTGCTTGTGGAAACACTTGTCTGGCTTGTTTTCCAAGTAGACACGAGCCACACACCTTTTTCTCAACAGAGATTTGTGGTATCCCAGTTACAAGCTCCCTTTTAATCATAGACTTTATGGACTCGAGATTAACATGACAGAGTCTCGCGTGCCACTTGCTTGATTCGTCAACCACCGTAGTGAATAAGTACAACGGCTCTCTAATTCCCATACGAACCTTATATAACCTGTTCTTTGATCGTACAGCCTCCACCAGTAACTTGCCCTCTCGATCATGCATAGTGAGCTTCTCTCCTCTTAAGACAACATCACAACCTGCTTCAGTTGCTTGACCAAGACTAATGATGTTGCTTTTTAACTTTGGAATGAAGTAGACTCCATTCATAGTTCTTGGGTTACCGTTTTGATCTATGAACTCAATCACACCTTTTCCTTTGATATCAATGCGGGAGTCGTCTCCAAATCTCACTTTTCCCGTAACCGATTCATTAATCTTCGAGAAGTACCTCCTATCACCAGTCATGTGATTTGAGGCTCCATTGTCTAAGTACCACAAGTCATTCTCTCCTGTGTTTGCCTCATATTTATTAGGCATCACCTTTTCTTCATTTAGATAGACGATTTCATTCATCATGAGCTCGTTCATGACTTCACTTATTACATTCATGAGCTCGTCGGCATTCTGAGTATCCTCCTTATCACCTTCTTGTGTTTCCTGTAGCTTCAACAAACGATCAGGACATGAGTAAGCATAATGCCCTGTTTTATCGCATCGAAAACAGGTAATACGAGAAAGATCTTTGTCTCGTCCTCCGTTGTTTCTCCCACGACCTCGTCCTCGTGTGAACCTTCCACCTCTTCCTCTGTATCCTCTGTTTTCGTCTTGATATTCACGAGAATGTGGAGTCTCTGCATTAGTGTACATCAATTTGCTCTGATCGTCTTGATCCTCTTCCTCGCTAATCCTCTCCTCGTAGGCCTTAAGACGCCCGACAATGTCCTCAAACTTTGTGGTTTTGAGGTCAAGTACCTGTTCGAGCGACGCTACCATGTGAATGAACTTTCTACGAGGTAAGGATTTCAGAAACTTCTTAACGAGTTTTGTTTCCTCAATCTCTTCTCCTAGCGCGGCAGCCTTTGAAGCTATTTCAGACATCTTGTTTGAAAAATCATCGATCTTCTCGGTGTCTTTCATCTTGAGACGATCAAAATCCTCCATTAGCGTCTGCAGCCTTGCTTCTTTCACACGCTCCGCTCCTACATGTCTCGTTTTAATGGCATCCCAAACCTTCTTTGCCGTGTCTAAACCTCCAACCTGTAGTATCATTGATTCCGGTATCGCTTGAAACAACAACCCTATCGCCATGTTGTTTTTGTCGTCTGCATCCTCTGCTGGTGTTTCAATGATATCCCAAACCTTGTTGATTTTTAGTATTATCTTCATGCGTATCTCCCACACGGTATAATTAGAAGAATTCAACATCGGACACTTGATCTTGGAGACTTCTCCATCCTTTGATTTCGTTTCTGCTGCAACTGTTAGATCCCCCATGATAACTTGGAAGCTCTGATACCAAATATAGAACTTAAGACTGCAAATAAGAAATTAACTCTTCTTATTTAAACTCAAGGAAACTTGCACAAAACCTCAAGCTCTCAAACTCTCAAACTTCTATATTTTGTGTCACAACTCGACACCTCAATATATAGATGTTATAAACCCTAATCCTAGTAGATAAACATAACTTTAGATAACTCCTAATTATATTATGTAATTNTCTCAAACTCTCAAACTTCTATATTTTGTGTCACAACTCGACACCTCAATATATAGATGTTATAAACCCTAATCCTAGTAGATAAACATAACTTTAGATAACTCCTAATTATATTATGTAATTATCTCCATCACTCGGTAGGATTAGGTCTCTATCTTCTTTCTCAAGCTTCTCTTTTATTCAAGCTTATCTCAACAATGCCATCTCCACTATCCATCCATGTGACCCCTGAAGATGGGTTTAGCTACGCTAGCTTCCAGTGTAGGGAGAGGAGAGTGACATTTGAGTCTCTGAGTGGAACGTTGATGTATCAGACACGTTTGAGAAGCTTGGCCAGTACTGTGGGTCGCCTACATCTACATTGAAGTGTGAGTGGAGCAGCAGCAGCAATAGCTGCATCACCGAGGACGAGAAGGACGAGGGAATCTAGCACAACTACTTTTTTTGTTTTTGCTTGTTTTATTAGTAATGAATAATGACTTGTGAAGTTGAGGTACTCTCCTTCTCAAGCATCTGTGTTGTTGTGTTTTTTTCTTACTTTATATGAATTCTGGATTTAATATATATATATATATAAGATTATTATGTTTGCTATTATGATTTATGTGTTTTTTTATGTTACAACTTGTGTTGTGCCCCTTGCAAGATATTGAACTCCAAGTTTAGAACAAGTAGCAATTGCATAGTACAAATACAATCACTACCAAGTTTTGTTCCACTCCTTCAATCTTTGAATCTCCAACAATATTCTAGCTCTCGAGCCACTGTAACGCCCCTCGTATTAAGACTTCCTCAGCAGTCTTACCTCTTTGGAGGCATTATTTGGATCCAAGAAACCTTTTTCGAGCTTCTGATACAAGAGAGTAACATCCAACAAGTGTCTACTGCTCTTTGAAAAGCTGGTTGAGATGAGAGATGATGTGTGTTTTTCCTAGAAATTAAGATCAATCACTTGGCTAATTTTCCGGATCACAGATTGAGCAAAACCACGTACGTAAAAATGCCTTTTTATGTCCTGGTCAAACGGTTAACTAAAACTTAGATGTGCCACGTACCCAAGGACGCAACATTCTCGGACCAATCCTCGTGTACTCAACACGTGGATCCACTTAAGCACGTCCCTTTGGATTATAAATAGCAACCCAATGCTCCAACATTTTACATCATCAAACACAAAACAATCAATTAAGGCATCAGATTTATAAGTTCTAAGCAAAAAGCGAGAGAGAAAGAAAATGTCAGACAAGCAAAACCTAAGCTACCAAGCCGGCCAAGCCACTGGCCAGACTAAGGTAACTCTTGCAGTTATTGATTGTTTGTTATACATGTTATTAATATACATACCTATGATCATAGTAGATGCATTTGTCTTATTTTCACTAGACGACGGGGTTTGTTAAATTTACTTTAAAATTTGCCAAAATGTATCTAATGAATATGTTCAAATGTGTGTGCGAACGTAGGAGAAGGCAAGTGGTTTGATGGACAAGGCCAAAGATGCTGCTGCTTCAGCTCAAGACTCCATGCAACATGTTAGTTCTTTCATCTCTCGTTTTTGAAAGAACACTTCTTAAAAATTAAACCAAACCATATATATATATATATATACACACACCTGCATTACAAAAAAAAAAACGTATGCTGTCCTAACCGTAAATGTGAATCGCAGGCTGGACAACAGATGAAACAGAAGGCACAAGGGGCTGCTGAAGCGGTGAAGGACAAAACTGGAATGAACAAGAACACTTAAACAACTTTCAATTTCCTTTCTTATTTAAGTTATTTAATAAATTTGGAGTGGTTTTAATTCTCATTCCTGCTGGTTCTAATGTTTATGTAATTTTCTCCATAATAATTAATAAATATCTGCATTTTCTAATAGTGAACATTTATACATACTGTACATGCATGAAGGAAAGAATACCAGAAAAGAAATGATTCAATAAGAATATTAGATTAATTAATAAACCATCTATACGCAAAACCAATATTAGCTGATCTTGGATTATATATTTGAAAAAAACAATCCCTGAAATTGAAAGTTAATTTAATCTAAAGATTATTTTATAGGGGAAAAGTGATATGAGATGATGAACATGTTTTTATCCTTTTTTATAAAGCATACTCTCTTCCTATGAATCAAAATAGCTTTCTTCTCTTGGTAACTGGTTATGTGACCATAGAGATTATAACGATCAAATATCATTGGACTTCCATTCTACGATGGCAAGAGTGTGACGTCCACCGCAAGCAATCGATTTAGCCAGCCATGTTCCTTCTTCTTCTTCATCCGCATGATTCAAGCTTCCTTCAGGTGGATGAATCTTTATAGGCAACTCCAATGGCTGTCCCGTTGTTACTTTCCTTCCATAACCAAGTCTTCCATGATCTCCTCTACCAAACTGATCTCTCAAAAGAAAAATCAAAATCAGAATAATGATTTTTTTTTTTTTTTGAAATAAACCTAAAGTAGGTTTCTTGGTTTTACAAGGAACTAACCGAGAAGATTCTGCCATCTCTTGTCAAAGCAACTGAATGTGTTCCACCGCAAGAAACCTATTTTGTAAAAAGATTGTTTATCATCAAAAAATTAATGCATTGATATCCAATTTCTGGTAGATGGCAAGATCATAAAACGCTGTACTACCTGAATGATATCTTCATCAGCTAGAAGGTTAACTTTCTGTGGAACCATTTTGCTGCTCTTGTCATTGTCACCAAACCCTAGTCTTCCATGTTCTCCTCTTCCCCAACCATACACCTAAAAATTACAGTACCAAACAGATAATCATTTCTTGATGAAAATGAGGATGCAGCAGCACATAGTGAGAATGAGAGGTATATGAGTGTTAATACCTCTCCTTTGTCAGTTAAAGCGGTTGAATGCCATCCACCCGCAGCAATATCAATCTAAGAATGTGTTTTTACAGAGAGATAAGTTGTTTAAGGCCTATGCCTTTTTTGTGGAAAATGAATGAAGAAAAGGAAGAGAAAGAAAACAAACCAAAGTGAGACCATCAAGGCCTTGGACTGGAACAGGATAAGGGGTTGGCTGAGTATCACCGGTTCCAAGTTGTCCATACTCGTTATTACCCCATGCCATTAGCCTCCCATCTTCTTCAAGAGCCAGATTATGAAACGCTCCAACAGCGATAAGACGCACATTCTCAAGACCTTGAACTCTCACCGGAACAAATATCTGTTTTCTACAAAACCAAAAAAACACAACATCTAAGTAATAATACACAAAATGGCTTTGTTGTGTGAGTTTTAGTTCTTCTCTATACATGTCACCAGGAGGCCAGGGTTGACCCCAAGTCCACACATGACCATCACGTGTCAGAACCACTGAGTGAGTACCACCTGCAGCAACCTGTATAAGAAGAAGATGGATTATCATCCACATAAGAACATTGAGAAAGAGACAAAAAGATATTTAAAAACACGTGTTGGTTTACCTGTCGGACCGTGAGTTTAGGGGCACAACGTTTAGGGATGACAATATCTCTACGCATGGGTCTACCCATCTCATCTTTTAGAGGCTCTTCACCACACTGTCCATATTCATTCCCACCTAAGTGTAATCATTTTAATAACATGACTTTGACTCATCACCAAACAAAACAGATTAAGAGAAAAAGACAAATAACATTAAAGGGTTACCCCACGCATAGGCTCGGCCTTGATCGTCAACAGCTAAACAATGCCAACCACCTATTGCTGCCTGTTATCATCCATAAGAAAATAAACAACACATTCAATGGTAAAACTGGTAGATAATCTGACTAAAACCACAAGAGAGATTTAGTAGAAAGAAAGAAAGATCAAAACCTGAGTGATCTTGACATTGGCAAGAGCCTTAACTCGACTAGGGACATTTTCTGTCTTTTTCTGTGGTGGATGTCCTAGTGTTCCTTTTTGATTCCAGCCCCATGTAAACATCTGAATCAGTAGTGAAGTTAGAGATTTTAAAATCTTCTCTGAACTTTAAACCCTTGAATTTAGTCACTCAAACTATTGAAATAAGGACCAGAAGAAAGGCAAGTTCCATGATGTCAAAGCAAAAACCGGTTCAAGACAATGACTTTTAACATTATTGACAAACTTCTAAATCACAGAGCTTAGAGACTTCATCAGTTATGACTGATGAGACAATTAAAACCATGTTTCTTGGTTCTTTCAAATCTTACAAGAACTTATAAAACCAACTTATAGAGACCTTCTTTTTGGCTTGAAACAGAGAAAAATCATATCCCCGAATCCACAAAGGACCGATTAAAACACGAAAAAAAATCTCATTTGGATAACTCGAAAGTGTATGATAAGTACCGAGCCATCATGGCAAATGGCGAGGGAGTTACGGCTACCAGAGACAACAGAGCGAACAGAGTAAGGCTCGAGAGCTTCAACGACACAAGCCCATTCCTTTTCTTCGTTACTACCAATTCCTAGTTGCCCATCTTCTCCTGAGCCCCTGCCAAGATGGTAAGAGAGAGAGAGAGAGAGAGAGAGAGAGAGAGAGAGAGAGAGAGAGAGAGAGAGAGAGAGAGAGAGAGAGGCCAAAGTCTTAACAAGAGTGACTGACACAAAAAAGAAAAATCGAAACTTTGTTAGGTAGATAAAGAGAGAGGTAAGAGTAACAAACCAGGCTATGACCGAAGTAGCTGAAACCATCTCTGAGAGAGAGAGAGAGAGAGAAGGTGAATGAAAGCACAGAGACAAGCGGAAAAGCTAAGAAGTGGGATTCGAGAAAGAGAGAGAGAAAAGGGTTGTAATAATAGCGTTGTTGTGTTTATAGACATTTAATTATTTACTTAATTTGGTTTAAGACATTCATTTCCGTATATTCGTATTCCTAAAATGTACTCTCCTATATTTTAATTTTTTTTTTACAGCGGAGTAAAATAATTTACCGAGGTAACTAAATTCAAATTTATATTAATGTCAGTTTTAATAAAAATCCAATCCAATCCAATCCAATCCAATAAAATACAAAATATATAATTACACATATGGGAAACATGATTAAAAAGAGTCACTACTGAAAAAATGGAAAAAATAAATAAACGAATAACATTAAATGTACGGAAAGAGACACATTCGAAACTGTGCTAGTGCTAGTCACAAAAAAGGATAATACTGTAGTGTTTATACAGAATAAAGTTTGATGTTACAAAAATGTATTATCAGTGTCTACAACCACTTTGCATTTTATTCTGTCCGTTATCTCTTCGTGTTTTAAGTTTGATTTTGTATTCGATATTCTTTAAAGATGAGTTGAATCTAAGAGCACCCCCATCAAAGGTTTAGATGGGGGGTTCACATACTTTTCAACACAAAAAAACTATTAAAATAAGAAAACCTTATAATCCCCTCTCTCCTAAAACTCTCTCTAGTGATCCCCTCTCTCATGAGGTTCATCACTGTAGCGCGGGCCACACGACACGTGGCGGCCCGCGATTGGTCTATCTTTTTTTTTTTTTTTTTTTTTTAAAAAAAAGCAAAAAAGAAAAACAAAAAAATTTAATAATAAAAAAAGGAAAAGATGAACCCCAAGAGGGGGTTCATTGGTGTGGATGCTCTAAAGCAATAGTTGTAATTTTTGTTTATTCTTATTCTTTCTTCACTTCCTACAAACATTAACAAGCAACTATAATTCATCATTTTCTAGACAGAAGTGATAGAAATCTAAGAAAGTGTGGATAAACATTTATAAAAAAAAACTGATATGCAAAAAGAATAAATCATCTCATAACAGTAATCATAAGATATCTTTAGTCAACTAAAAATAACTCAGTTTATGTCATTTAAATTATTTTCGTAATCATCTAAAAGAAATATTTTTTTTTATTTTGAAAATATATAATAATTTATTTAAAAAAATTACTTTAAAAAAAGAAGATTTCCCTTTTTGATATCAAAATTATTTTTTGTGAATTCATTATTTTATGAAATCACATTATATGTTAAAATATATTAAATTCATTTATAAAACACCGAAGCAAAGAATTTTGTAAATACTGAACTGTTCCAAAATTTCTAAACCGGAAAATCAAAAACTGAAATTACAAAACCAAAAACCGAATAATCATCTTTAATGTCATTCTCATGTGTTATAAACTCAAACTAGAGCTTGACCCGTACGTCTGTGCGAGTACTTATTTTCACTTTTATATATATGAATATTATTTAAAAAATTTCTTAGTTAGTATTTTAAATATTTATCTTATTTAAAAATTTTATACATATAATAATTAAATAGTTTACATGCTGTAAGATATTACATAATATTATTAAAATTCATTTTTATATTTGAATTTTTCTAAAATGTAACTAAATCATTTTAGGAAATATCATGATTCTTAATTTTAGCTAAACTTGATTTAGGAAATAATTTAATAAAATAGAAAAAGACAATATACTTAAAATTAAGGCTATTTAATATTTGAATGGCATGAGAATGTAAATATTGAGGAAAAGCTAAGCTAGGGTCAATTCAGTTTTGTATTCCTGTTTTAATAGATTAGAACCCTCTAAATAAAACCCTAAGCAAGCTTCTCGCTCTCTATCTCTCTCTCTAGTGCTTTGCTTGCTTTGCAAGTTTAGTGAGATAATGGCGGGATTGATGGTTACTCTCGGAGGTAAAGGATGTTCATTCTCTTCTTTCTCCGTTTACAAGGTTGCTTGCGGCGTAGCTAACGTACGCATCGACTCTTCTGCGATAGAGAGACTCTCCACTAAACCCCTTCCATTGATCAAAAGAAGCTCCTTCTTTGGTATCCTCCCTGAAGAGTTAACGAAGGAAGAGATCCGAGCTTCTTTGGTTGTGCTCTTAAACAAGCTTCTTTTGTCAAACTCCTCCGGTTCGGTTCGGTCTGTTCTTCCGGTTAGGATATTGGAGATTCTGAATTCAAAGGATGATGAGACGTTCGAGTTGGGTGACGTGGAAGTGACGGAAGAGGAGAGCGTTGTGTTGGAGAAGTCTTGTGCTTCGTTGGTTGGGATATGTTCGGTTATAGATCACAAGTCAACGGTTTTGTCACAGATTGCTGACTCTGTTGCTGCATTGAGTATTGAGGCTACAAAAGGTGATATCACTTCCTTTAGTTCGTTGGATTCTGGAGATGGGTTTGGTAATAAAGATGCCATCAGTGTTGCTGGTGATCTTAAGGTCTTGCTTAATGGGTCTAAAGCTGTGGGGAAAGTGGGGGTTGAAGAGGTTTCGAAGATTCCGAGGATTCATGGGAAGTTCAGAGACGTGGTGAGGAGTGTGCACTCGGATGCTCGGGTTGAGTTGAATTCAGCTGTTAAAGATGGTGGAAACAGTGGAATTAGTGAGTGTTTAGGAGCAACATTGTCAGCTTTGTGTGTACCGATTAAAAACTTGGGTGAATGTTCGTTCAAACGTGCTAAGCTTTGTGTTGTTTCCATTGTAAATGATATTCTGAGGGAACACTTGTTGGAAAAGAGTTGTGCTGAGTTTGAGAACCTGAAGAGTGGTCTTAAGTTAGCTCTTGTCGAAGAGGATCCTTGCAGATTAGCTCATAGGTTGAATGAGTCTCTGAGTGTTGTATGGAGAATCGTTGGTATCGAAGCAGCTGCTGCCTATTTTGCACTTGCTGGTGGAGATTTGTTTGCAAACAAAGAGGAGTTAAAGAGCGAGAAAGAGGAGTCTAAAGGCGACAAGAAAAAGAAGAAGAATGAGAAAAAGACCCTCTTAGGGAAGGGGACAAGCCTCATTATCCAGTTTATCAAAGATAGATTGGTGAGTAACGATGAAGCAAACGGTTGTGGTGACCAGATTGTGGATCAAATCTTAAATACTTTCAATCCTGAGAGCTGCGGTTTTGATTGCTTGTTTGCTAAAGTGAAAGAGATTGTAGAAAGTAATGAAAACAGGAGACTTCCCAAACTTCCAAAGGTAAATTTTCATTTGATCTCAGCATCAAATTGGTGTATGCTTCGAGTCTATCTATTTTTCTCATTTGTTTGATTGCTTTGATAGGGTACTCGAGATTTTTCTCAAGAAAAGATGATAATCCGAGAAAAAGCATTTTCAATCATACAAAATGTTTTCAAGAAACACGGTGCAACTGCACTTGACACTCCTGTCTTTGAACTGAGAGAGACACTTATGGGCAAATACGGAGAAGACTCAAAGCTGATCTACGACATTGCTGATCAAGGTGGAGAGCTTTGCTCTTTACGATACGATTTAACTGTTCCATTTGCAAGGTACTGTGCTATGAATGGTATCACATCATTCAAAAAATACCAAATAGCTAAGGTGTACAGAAGAGATAATCCATCTCACGGGAGGTACAGAGAGTTTTACCAGTGTGATTTCGACATCGCTGGTTTGTTTGAACCAATGGGACCTGATTTTGAAGTTGTCAAGATTTTAACTGAGCTCCTTGATAAATTGGAGATTGGAGATTATAGGGTAATAACTTTTATCTTCAAGTCTTGATAATATTTACTCGTTTGTTTTCTTCTTGCTTACGTTCTTCTTTTTTTGCCAAAAATAGGTGAAACTGAATCATAGAAAGTTGCTAGATGGAATGCTGGAGATATGTGGAGTACCAGCTGAGAAATTCAGAACCATTTGCTCGAGTATCGATAAGTTAGACAAGCAATCATTTGAGCAAGTGAAGAAAGAAATGGTGGAGGAGAAGGGTTTGCCATCAGAGGTTGCAGACAGAATCCGGAGCTTTGTCGACATGAAAGGAGCTCCTATGGAGCTATTGTCTAAACTGAGAGAAGAAGGGAGTGAGTTTTTAGGTAACAAGTCAGCAAAAGAAGCTCTTGATGAGTTGGGTATAATGTTTGAAGCGCTTGAGAGATCAAAGTGCAGCCAGAGAGTAGTCTTTGATCTAAGTCTAGCTAGAGGTCTTGATTACTACACTGGGGTCATCTTTGAAGCCGTTTGTATAGGAGCTGAGGTAAAAGAATAAATCCTGCGACTGCATTTCAGTTAGAAAAAAAAGTATATGAGATTGGAAAGTTATTGTTTGTCTGCAGGTTGGATCAATTGCTGCTGGTGGTCGATATGATAACCTTATAGGAATGTTTGGACCAAATCAAGTCCCTGCGGTTGGCATGAGCCTGGGGATCGAGAGAGTGTTTAATATATTGGAAAAGAAACAAAATCTGAAAGAGGAACAAAAACGAGTAAACTTACTTCCCAAAAGTGTTAATTAATGCTTCTTTTTTTTCTTATTTTGTTTTTTTTCTAATTTTTTTTGGTATGAATTTAGGTTGTTCTATCTAGAAAGACACAGGTTTTGGTTAGTATAATGGAGGATAATAAGCTAGGGGAAGCTGCAGAACTGGCTAGTAAGTTATGGGAAGCTGATATCAATGCAGAGTACCTTGTGACCAAAAGGAGAGGAAAGCATTTCGAACGTGCTACTGCTACCGGTTCAGAGATACCTTGGATGGTGGTTGTGGGCAAAACAGAACTCAGTGAAGGTGTTGTGACACTGAAGAAGATCCTCAAGGGAAGTGAGGAGGAAGTTCCAGGAGTTCCTAGAGACACTTTCGTTGCAGAATTGTTGAAACGTCTCTGAGTTCTCAATTCCCTGAAACCGAAACGCCATTATGTTATTGTATGTTTTATTTTTATATCGAGATTTTGGTTTGTACCATTTTGATGATGACTCAAAATCTTATGATTGGTGTTTACCTGAGATGTGATTGATTTAGGCAGGTTTACTCTACATGATTGAGAGCTAAAAGAAAACAATACAAATACTTTTGTTTATTAAGATCCAAGCTGACCTTGTTCATCATCATAATGACAATAAAACTGTTCTCAGCAATTTTGTTCTCCTCAATGGTGGTCTCATCTTTGAGCACTTTCCCTTGGTAAATGAGCATCAGTTTTGCAGCAGGATAAAATCAGCTCCCTGCACATTCTCTATGTTCTTCTGAATGTAGTAAAAAAAACAAACTAGATACGAACAGTAGACATAGTTAGAGTGTCTACAAAGTTCAAGTACAACATCGTATATGATGACCTTTGCTTAGCTAATAATATCAATGAAACTGCAGGGCTAAACATTTTCAACCATGCTGATTCAGGAATCTATTTCCTGATTACATTCTTAATTCCGTAGAAGAAATACACAAATGATAAATTTCAAGAGATTGACATAGATAAACTTTCAAATAAAAGAGTGCACGTGGGAAGTTTTAGCCTTTTAGGAGCTCATTACAGTGTATCAATTTTGGTTTTTCATGTTTTGTTTTTACTTTTACTATTAAGATTCATACATAACAATACATGTCCCCAGTTCGACAAAAAGAAATAATAATACGAACATGAGATTTTGTAACGACGAAATACGATCCACGACAACACAAAGACATAGCAAATGAGAAACTCCATTTTAAACTGAGAGAATCCATGACCATGGATGAGTAACAAGCTCATCAACATCTCTGGTTCGAACTTGGCATCACACAGTATGTAAAATAAACATACGGACCAATGAGAAGAACAAGCCAATTTTACTGAAGAAGCTATTCCTCGAACTCATGCATGTGATCTAGAAGATAGTTTGCCGCCATCTCCTCGTTCTTGTTGCACGCAAAGAACACTTCCAACACCAGTGCTCTCTCAAATCCCATCGCTTCCAGCTGTTTTTTTTTTTGTTTTTTTTATCAAGGTGAAACCCCTAGTTAATGAATCATTAAAAGAGGTACATACTTTTTCTATAGAGGAAAGTTAAGAGTGGGAAAAAAAAAAGAGAAAAGAAACGGAACATACCCGTTCAATTGCATCGCGTTCCTCAGGTGTGACCTGGATCGCCTGTGGCTGTGGCATTCCTTCGCCGAAGAGGTTGCCGCTGAATAATACAGTGCACAAGTTAACCAAGAAAATAATCATTGTTTAAGTAATTGAAAACCTCCCAGGTATGTTACATATGAGTCATAACTGTAAGAGCACAAGGATTATACATACCCTTCTGCCCCTCCTTCAACGGGCTCATTGATTAAACGCAAAAAATCAGCTTGATGTTCTTGAATCAACCGCATCAAGTTTGGGTTTTGCTTTCCCAGTTCCTGAAGCATAGGCTGCAGATAACACATGGACGAACTTATTCATTAGTACAGCTATTGAAATGAATGTACTCAGCGAAAAGCCTGACAATTATTTCACTTCTGCTGTGAAATGGATCAACATACCTGCAGAACTTGAGGATTTGCTTGCACCATTGTTCGAAGAGCTTGGAACTAATATAAACCAGAATATATAACAATAGACATGTCATATTGATATCTGACATACTCCTCATGTAAGCAAGTGTAAGGGGAAAAAAACAGCTCATACCTGTTGGCTGTTACGCAGAAAGTCAAGTGTTCCGGCACCAGGATTTGCTCCAACATTTGGCAACCCCTGTCAAAGATATGGTAGATTATGGTTACACACCCCTATTATGATCAAATATTTTAAAGGAACCAAGTAAGCTTCCCATCTCCAGGTGTATTACCTGTGGGAAGAGATCTAACGGATTTGCATTAGGACCAGTTGCAGGTGCCGCTGCAGGTTGCTGAGTCTGTACTGGAGGATTTGCTGGCTGTCCACCACTAGCTGGGGCACGAGCAACTGGTGGAACTTCAGCTTGCTCAGGGATCCCCTAAAGCATAAACAAATAGTATTTAAAATATATACTGTCACTGAAAACAGTAGCCTATAACAGTGGTGAGGAAGAATATTATAGGCCTAGTGACCAAGAGAGCATCTGAAGCAAATTCATAGAAAAGAAAGTGAACTCACAGAGTAAAGATATTCCACAGCTCTTTCAGGGTTGTTAAATGCAGCACGGAGTGCACGGACAACAATGTCACGATCCCATGTTCCTCCACCCATGTCAAGAATCTGCTGAATGGTACTCTCTAAATTACTTCCAGCAGCCAGATTCGAAGCAGCTTGTCCGTAAACATCAGTCTGAGATCTATTTTAACCAACACAATGAAACAAAATAAGAATAGGCCAATATCAGAACCAAGTAGAACGTTTCCAAGGACTAAATACAGAGAGCAAATATGCTAACCCAGCAGGAGTTGATTCGGGTGCAGGAGTGCTTGCTGGTACAGTAGCAGAAACAACTTCAGTTGCAGGTACAGTTTCAGTGACAGCTGTAGGTGTTGGTGCAGGGGTCGGTGCAGGTGCAGCTGGTCTGCAAAGTTTAGGAAGATGGAGATTAGTATGCACATATCACATACACAGGTTCATTTCAGAAGGAAATTTCCTAGCAAAAAAATACTTGTCGTTTAAACTCACATTGCTACAGAAACTGGAGGCTGAGGGGAAGTTGATGAGGTAGGAATCGACTTAGCCTAAACAAGTGCTAAAGTTAGAACATTCAACAAACAAGTTGCAGCATCTCATTTTTTAAGTTGTTGCTATATTAGTAGAACCGACTCTAACCTGCACTGTAGGGCCAGCAGATGCACTAGAGGCTCCAGTTGAGGAAGGTTTACTCTACATGTTTGTCCCCGGAGAGCATCAAATCAAAAATCAAAAATCAAAAAGAGCTAAAAGAAAACAACACAAAAAAAATAATACTTTGTTAATTAAGATTCAAAACTCACCTTGGTCATCATAATGACAATGAAACTGTTCTCAGCAACTTTGTTATCCTCAATGGTGGTCTCATCTTTAAGCACTTTCCCTTGGTAAATAAGCATCAGTTTTGCAGCAGGATAAACATCAGCTCCCTGCGCAGTCTCTATGTTCTTCTTCACATCAGCAACCTGAATGTAGTCAAAAAACATGGCCAACCGAAATTTCTTTAGATACATCTACAACCAATAAACTAGCAACCTAGTCATATATAAAACCAATAAAAGAAAAGACTAGATATAAACAGTAATCATAGTTGGAATGTCTACAAAGTTCAAGTAAACCATCGTGGAAGCAAACAAGCAATAGTTGGTTCAGCAAGAAACGAGATGTTATAAAATTCTAAATCGTAAAATAAAAGCTACAAATTCAATGCCAATTCCACCACCACTACAAACAGTGAAATAACTATATAATATACACAAAAATTAACCAGTAAGCGATGAAAAAACAAAGCCTATACACAAAGATTGCTGAATTGTATAAATTCTCTCTAGCAATCTCTAAATTATTACTACAGTTCACTCTCAGACCACGAATAAATGTAATAAACATAAACAAAGAGACAAATCAAAAGAGTCAAAGACAAATAAAAACAGATCGAAACACATCGATAATGATAACGGAACTCAACTAACGAGTAAGAAGACTAATCCGCAAATATTTATCATTACCGAATCATCGGGTTTAACTTCGATCTCGAAGTGAGTCCCCTTGAGAGTTTTCACAAATATCTTCATCTTCTCTTCTCTGTCGAATAGCTGATGAGATAGAATTAGATCTCCGCCCGGAAGATAACTTGGGGAGAAGGCTAGTAGTAGGGTAGGTGAAAGAATATCCCTTCCTTTGCGTTCCCTCGATATCTCCTCCTCTCTGGATTGATTGTGGCCCGTATCACAAGACTTGTTTCTCTGCCACGTCATCCCTCATTTTATGCCATTGACAGTTCCTGCGTTCACCAAAAGATAGGCCCAAAATGTTTAGAATATTAGGCCCAATTCTATTGTGTGGCTATTTTTGTGTTTCTTTGCATTGGTACAGATTACACACAGTGGTAAAGTAATAAACTCTGTAATAGCCAATCTTGAATTTTATCTCTGTAAATAAGTTTGTACATTGCTCTATCTTTGGCTCATCAAAAAATTAAAGGGAGGGAATATAACAAAACTTAAAAAAAAAGAGTTATATCTGCTTTGGCTCATCATCACTGAGAGCTGATACAGGCAAAAAAATCTAAAAGGAATAGTTAAGAGCTTATTAGAGCATAAGGTCAGTCTTGCACGAGCTCTCCTCCCCCTGCCACGTCCCAAACACTCCCATTTTTCTCTTCTTTACAGGCACCACGTGATCCGCACGTGACACCGTCTCCAGACCTAATGTTAGGTCAAGCTTGATCTCACCGGAGCCTTGTAAAGCCGGCGGTGAGAACGTCATGACCTCCGAGATATTGCTCTCTCCCTCATGAGGAGCCACGACTTCAGACTGGTGACTCAACGACGACTCGTGACTAGCCTCTCTCCCAGCTGATTTTCCCTCTGATTCTGCCGGTTTGGTGACGGCGGCGACACGCTTAGCACGCCGAGCTTTTCCTCGTTTCGGATCTGTTGAACCAGTAGTTGTTGCTGCCGCAGCGGCAGAGCTCTCGTCCTTAGAAATGTGTCGGATGTCATACATTTTAAGCGGCGGACCTTGCCCGCTCGCCGCCGCATCTGTCGCCAACTCAGTGATCGCTTCACCTTTCATCACCGCTTCAACGGCGGCTTGACAAAGCTGCCAGTTTCCCGACCATAACAACCCCACCGAACCGTAGATCGGGTTCACAATCCTCCCACAAGCTTCATGCAACAACGACCGGAAAATCCCTAAAAAATTCCACACACAGTGATCATCAATACACACTAAACGCCGTCAATTCCACCAAATGATTCAAAAGAAAATACAACTAACCAGGACGAAGGTGATCGGGACCAGCGTTGATGAGGTTCATGAGTCCAGCACGACCATAGAACTTGGCGAGAAACACAGTTGCGTTTGCTTGCGCTTCAGGGGATTTGATCCAAGCCAAACACGGTCGTATACTACAATCCTCACTACACCCTTTTCGAAGAACTCTGCATCCATTACAACTCATCCGCATCTTTTATTATTTTTTCTGCTATTGTTTCGATTTTGAGTTAACAACCGAGAGAAAGTGGCTTTCTGTTCTGTAAGATTTCTGGGAGATTTTGTAGGAAAGTGGTGATTGAGATTCACTGATTATATAAGAAAGATGATAACTTTTAAGAGACGGAATTCGTTGACAATAAGCCCCTGGATTTTTGGGAGGTGAGATATAAAACCAGGGAAGAAGAGAGAAGACAAATAAAATGGGATAAGAATGAGCTGTTTTTGTAAAGACAATGGCGGTTTTGTCTTTGCTTTTTTTTTTTAATTTTATTTCTTCTCTTCTTTTATTCCCCAGAAACGCCGCGGTTTTTTATTCCTGGTTCAAAGTTTCACTTCTTGTGTTTCTTCCCCAAGTTTTGTTTTATACACATTCTCAGTTCCCACGCGCGTGTCCTAAAATTAATTAGGTGATTGCTGAATAATTAAACAATCTAAAATTTGGTATCTATAATTGATTTGTTTTTAAATATTTAATTATTTAATGAATTAATGTAGTTACATACACTAGATTAACCATCTGACCAAATCATATTGTAGTATGTTTTACAGATATTTAACTAATTTAGATGATTTATTCATTAATATGGAGTATTTATTAAAATCGTGTAATCACTATTTTTAAATCGAAAGAAATATCTCTGTCCTCCTTTATCGAAGACTGACAAAAGGCAGAGGTCGTGGCTTTAACGCACGCGCGTCAGAAAGTTCGGTCGAATCGCCACATCTGACTCAGATGGGATATGAGTTATTTGAGGAAGCTGGGGCCCACACTTAGCTCCTGGTTTTCGGGAAAAGAATCCCGTGTCCTAAATACTGCTTTATAATTTTGTCGTAAAACTAGTGTCTGGTTTCTGGTTTTGATATTTTCTTCTATGTGACTGTGGGCGGATCCGGTCGCCGACGGTTTTGTTTAAAACAGCGTAATCCTTTTTTTTTTCTCTGTAATGACCTTTAGTGTAGTTTAGAGTCTTTAGACAAATAAAAATCAGAGTTAAATTATCAACTTTAACTAATCTCATTATTGTAAAACCAAGGACATTTGAGAATGTGATTTCTCACCTATATATATTTTACAAAATCATTGATTATATTTTAAATGAAAATAATCGTTTATAGACTGAATTTGAATTAAGAAAACTATTACTATAGATTTTGTAATTATTGAAACTTGATTAGGTTACCATTTAAGAAATAGAAAGCATATGACATTTATATTGCAGCGCACATTTAACATGTGTTGCTAAATGTAAGTGTTACTATATATTATCCGCAGCAACCCATAAGTAATTCTTTTTTTTTTTGTGCACATAAGTAATTCTTCTTTGATGGTTTTGGCTTTGAGACTTGATGAGTTTCAAACACAATTAACTACTCAGAACTCGTTTCCATTACTTCAACTAGTCCATGAGTTTACATGTTTTGTTCACGGCACAACATTGATGGAATCTTCGACGTTGAATAGACCGTAACTCCGTAAGTATCACGTTACGGATCTTCTTCGCAAGTCACCGACCGACAACTCCGTATCATTCGCCATTACACGTCGTTCCTTTCCTCTCGTGTATATCCGTACGTGACAAGCGAATTAGGCGCCAATATAGAGACTTGATTGAATAATAAAGAGTATTCATATTTATCGAAGTTACATTTTACAAAGATTGTGAATCTCCAGTGTTTATACAAGCTTTTTTACATACAAAAAGAAAAGGAACAAAGACTCCAAATTGGTTTAATATGTTACAACGAGACTCAATAAAGAGAAGATTAACACATCTTTGGTTACGGTATATATACACAATATCGATCTCAAAGTTAAAGAAAACTGCGGTAAAAGACTTAACTGGTGATGTAGACACTGATCTTTAACTTTCCTCTTCACCTTCAAAAATACAAATATATGCTTATAACAGGGAGTCTTGATTCTGGCTTTTATATACACTTTTTTTTTTGTGAATCTCTGTTCCTTCTTCTTTCTTTCCGTCTTCTAAGCCATGGCATATATGTTGGAGCTTTGGCGGTCCCTGTTTAAGCAGTTGAATCCTTCTACTCTAACAGCTGCCGGTTTAATCCCAAACTTCACGCGACCACCACAACCCCCTCCTTTGACACGAGATGGCGATGGAGATGAAGATGGGAGGAATGGTGAGAGTGAGGGTGAGACAGTGTTGAGTTTTTCATCTCCAAATCGTGCATCTTGTGCTAACGGGTTTGATACTCTGCTTGGGGGAGACCCAAGAAAATATGGAGGAGATGAAGCTACAGCAGATAATGTTTCTCCCTATAGAAAAAGAAGAAGGCAAGAAAAGCATAGTTAAGATCACAAGACACAATAATATATGGACACCACAATTACTGAATCATTATATCTATATACGCAAATAATAGCTAACAGTAAGAAAACTAAACCAAGGAGAAGCTTTGTAAACCATACTGTAAACAAAATCATAATTCAGGCAGAGGAAAAGACAGTGAAATCTGATGGAGACATTTTATATGTATTAACCTACGGCTTGTAATAACTATACAGCATAGAGTTAGTGATACAAAGAAACACAGATCAATGAAGAATGATTCATCATATCCGTTCAAATAACTGAAAAAGACATTTGCTTAATTCAATAAACAACATTAAGAGAAAGAGAGAAACCTTTCTACGAATGATGTCCAAAAGCTCTGCCCCGGCTTGAGAATCACATACATCATCATCAGCTTCTGGTTTACTGTTAAATCCCAAACAAATCAAAGTAAAGATAAGCATTTTGTTCTTCTTTTTCTGAATATTAATACGAACTTAGTGGGCAAAAAAGACAAATGTAATAAGCTTTGATTTATGATACCTGGAATGTGATTTAAGCTGATGAACAACGTTACTGGAGAGGATGCTAACGCGACGAGGCTTAGGACAAACAACAGAAGATTCAGGAACAACAAATTGTCTGGATTCGCCAGAGGACATGAAGGCGTTCTGCTGAAGGTTGCAATGATTCATCTTCGAACCACTTTTATCCACAGAAGAACGCCTCACCTGTTGAATCACAAAAAAAAAAAAAAAAAAAAAATCAGTGATCTTTTAGAGAAAAAGAACAAAATTTTGAAAGTTGTGATTCGTTTCAAACGGAAAAGAAATAAGAATTTACTTGGTGAAATTGTAAAAAATTGTCCTCAAGTTTGTCTAGTTTTCACCGAGATCTAATTAGAGGGAAGCAAAGAAAATTCGTTGTGGGGAAATAATTGAAAAAGCGATTCATTTCTAATTCAGAGAGATAGATTGTGTTATAAAAAGGATGTTCAAAAACAGAATAAGCCAACGAATACATTTGACCAGAAGAAACCAATTTGTCATAGAATGTAAAAAAAAGGAAAACAACACAACAGACGTATTGACTGGACTATTATAAGCGGAAAACTTTGACAAAGACGAACATGATAAGAATTTTAAAACTTAAGATCTGCAACAAAAACCGAAAAAAGGAAACTGACTTTGATCTGTGATTTCCACCATTAACGGAACTTGACATAGAAAAGTGAGAGAAAGAAAAGCATACCTTAAAATTTATAACGAAACAGCGGCGATAAGGTTGAGCGAAAGAGGAGAAACAGAGCGGATATGAACAGCACTTTATAAGATATCCAAACGAGAACGATGTCGTTTTAATTTGATAATATAAAATATCGACGTCGTTAATTTCGTATTATATACTTGTGGCACGTCGTTAGTTATGGTGAAATAGTAATAAATCGTTGGTTGCATGCTGTTACATCCCAAGCATTTAAGCCAAAAATGCTAGCAAGTACTAGCAATTAGTCATTCCATTATCTTTATAAAATTAATAATGTATATGATTGTGACAAATTATTTCATTTTAGTTGATAGACAAATTATCCACGGCCCAGTTTGAGTAAATGCGAATGTATAATGGACCATGAGAATATTAACAGCCCATTTTAAGTCGATAGAAACCCTTAGTATTTAAGCCTTTGCTTCACCAGACTGTATCGCCTCCTCTGAACACGAAGCTCTGAAAGCAGGAAGTCGTAAACCTTGTCACCACCTTCGTCGTTGTCAACTGGTACGCGTCAATATACTATTCTCTGCGATCTCATGGGATTGAGTCTGCTTTTTGGAAGCTAACCGACCTTTGTCTTGATCTAATTTGGTTCTTGTCTGGAAAAAAATGTTAGCTTTATAAGTGAGAGCTGTAATCCTCATGGGTTTGTAATTAGAGTGATCTGTTTAAAGACGTTAGCTTTTGTAATCAGTTGAGAAATGTTGTGTCATTGTCACTAGTGAGCTACGAGCTTCCTTTAGGGTTGTGAGTCGATAATGTTAATTGGATTATTTGTTTTGTGTGTATGAATTGTTACAGTTTTAGAAGCTGCAAAGATGTTCTCTGCTCAGAACAAGATCCACAAGGATAAGGGTGTTGCACCAACTGAGTTTGAGGAGAGAGTCGCTCAGGTATTCTTGCTTCATCATGTCTTTGCTGTCTTGTTGTCTTCGTCTTGCGAGTGTTAATTTATTTAGAATGTTATTTATTTATTCGCAGGCTTTCTTTGATTTGGAGAACACCAACCAGGAGTTGAAAAGTGACTTGAAAGATCTCTACATCAACCAAGCTGTGTAAGTGTCATATTTTTACAGTATGATCTTAACTTGGGCTTCCATTAATGAAATATATCTCTTGTTCTTTCCCTTTCTTTGCAGTTCAATGGATATTGCTGGCAACCGCAAGGCTGTTGTGATCTACGTTCCATTCAGATTGAGGAAAGCTTTCCGCAAGATTCATTCTCGTCTTGTCAGAGAGCTCGAGAAGAAGTTCAGTGGTAACGATGTTATCTTTGTTGCCACCAGAAGAATCATGCGTCCCCCTAAGAAAGGCTCTGCTGTTCAGAGACCACGCAACAGGACTCTCACTTCCGTCCATGAAGCCATGCTTGAGGATGTCGCTTACCCTGCTGAGATTGTTGGCAAGCGTACCAGATACCGTGTTGATGGCACCAAGATCATGAAGGTTAACCCATTTCTCATGGTCTTTCATTTCTTTAGGCTCTTACTTAACATGTTTCAACTTACATTGCCAGGTCTATTTGGAGCCTAAGGAGAGGAACAACACTGAGTACAAGCTTGAGACAATGGTTGGTGTTTACAGGAAACTTACTGGGAGAGATGTAGTTTTCGAGTACCCAGTCGCTGAAGCTTGAAGAGGAGATAAAATGTTGGTTTAATTCTTCTTTTTTGTCGGATAGTTTTGGTACTGTTTGGGTGTAAAACTCTTTTGGAAAGATTTTCTTGTTTAAGTTGCTTCACACTCTTCCTAAAATTTACCTTTAATAAGACCTTTCCTCTGTTCATCAAACATTCACAGTTTAACAAACATTATCTCAAAAAAATCCAATCAAATTTTTAATTATTGGCACAAGAAGTTCAAACTTACAGAGTTTGATTCAATAATAATACAATAACTGAGAAAGCTCAACTGAAAGAAAGCTCGAGTGTTGTTCAACTATAGAGAATACAAAAACCTATTGTTCACTCCTGCTCTGTACAGCTTCAAGTCAGAAGAAGACTTCAATTGAATCTCAGTATCTGCAGGCACAAATAGAACATCTCCCATTGAAACCTCATCTGCAGAAGCATCTGTAGACATTCTTCCTTCACCTTGGAGTACAAGCAGAAGAGAAGGGCCTGGTACAGAGGGAAACACTGTCGAGGCTCCAGAGGGAAGATCACAGAGATCAACTTCAAACTCATCGAAAGGTGGGAGGTATCTTGTGATGTATGGTCTAATCTTTGATCCCTTTAGTATTTCAGGAAAGCCCTGAAAACACCAGAGATAAGAGAGAGAACTCACTAACTAAACATTTTTACTTCTTGGTGAGTTTGGTTTTAAGTTGTGAAGGGTTTACCAGTTTATATGTGAGCATGGAACAAAGTGATTGAATATCCAGAGGCTTGGAAGTGAGACCAGCTCTTACTACATTGTCTGAAGTAGCCATGACCTCAATGCACTCACCGTATAAGTATGCATGGGGCTCGTTCGCACCGAGGTACAAGGCTTCACCAGGGTTGAGCTTCACATAGTTAAAGAAGAATGCAGATATGACCCCAATATCATTTGGATATTGCTTCTCTAGCTTCAAGACTAGCCGTTCCTTGTCTGTCAGATGACGTTCCTGCAATACTCGCAAGGGTAGGCTTGAGGTATTGCCATTTTACAAGACAATATGTTCAAGGAGCAACCGAAAGAAGGTAACAGGGAAGTTAGATATCTGACCTGGCTCTCCATATGCAGACGGCGTTTTAGTTTGAATACGATCTGCTTTGTTGTGTCAGGGCCTGCAGACATTAGCAAGGTGAAGATAGTTCGGACAGCAGACTTCACTTTCTCGTCATCATGTTCACTGATGCAAAAGACTTGGTTTGTTTCTTCACTCCCAACAAGTTCCTCAATCTCCGGAATAGCACGAATGACACTCTTAAGCTCCTAAAATATTGGTATAAGAAGAAATTTAATTCCTTCAGCTCTAAAAATTAAGCTTTCTGCAAAACTAGATAAGTTAGATTCATAGAACTAACAATCAATTTGCTGGCAAAAGTTTGGAAACATGTTCAGAACTCTGAGATCTTTATCTAAAGTAAAGGAGGAAGGTGCTATATACAAATATTACGCAACACAATGAATGAAGCGAAAGATCTCATCTCAAACCTTTTAGGCACTAAAGTCTTTAACTATCACTCATTTAAACGCTTTTTATCGATGCACAGACCAAATAAACATGTAAGTATTAATTTGGAAACTCAGTGGGCCAGTGCAAAGTTTCATCTTTATATTAAAAAAAAGAACGATTAAAATACTGATAACCGACAACGTGTTTAGCAGTTACCTGAAGAGGTACAAAACCACAAAGAGCCTCGAATTGGGTATAAGCCAATGCCATCTCTGGTTTGTGATTATCATCTTTATAAAGATTAGGATGAGCCTTATGCATTTTCTTCGCCAAAACCTTATCAGGATGTGCTTGAATCGACAAAGGCCTTGCCACCGACAACACCTAATCACATTATAACATAACACTAGAGATTCAACTCTCTCTCAGACCAAACAGCAAAATCAACTTAAAAAAAAAAAACAGAGAATCTTGATGAAATTATTACAATGTGGCAATGTAATGTAATACCTTAAACAGAAACGGGAGATCACAACCCCATTTCTCTAAAACCCTGTCTCCAAGAGACTCAGGGTTTTCGGTGATCCACGATCTAAGCGTCACGCCATTGGAGCCATCAGCATCATTATCCTCCAAGTAACTCGGACCTGACTCGTGAGTTCCCATCCAAAGCTCCGCGTAGGGTCTCGTAGAATCGATCTGATCATCGGAATTCGCCGTGTGAACTCTGTAAACGAGTGAATCCGATCCAATTGTGCCCCAAGCGTAATCCTTTATTGAGCATTTTAATCGGAGAAGACGTCGTCGATCCGCTTCACAACCGCCATTTGCCTCCATTTACACCGAAAATGAAGATTACGGATTCAAAAATCCGTTATGGTTTATTCTCAGAGTATATTATGCTTAAGCGCCCATGGCAAGGAAGAAGATATTTTGTTTTTGCGCGTAGTACTTTTGTTTTTATAAAACAGAGGAAGGTATAATTGCACAAGCAAAAGTACGAGGTCACAAAAAGTAATAAAATAAAGATGTGGGGGTTGTGATGTTTAGCTTCTTGTAATAAGAAATCACGTGGTTTTGCCGACGGATTTAACGTTGTTCGTGGGTTGTGGGCCGTTTGCTAGCTGTCCACGTTAATTATCACGATAACTCAGTCACTCAGTCTCTCTCACGTCTCAAAAATACTTTGCAAACTAATAACTTAAAGCTAACAAGTAACTAAACCGACAAAATATCAAAAAAATGGTAAGAACGTTTTATTTTTACGATATTTCCAAATGAGGCGTTTATAAAAAAGTATAACAGAAAAAAAATATCATCAACAAACGAGGGAGAAAAATCTAGCCTTAACATTTGTGTATTTTTATCTATATACAAGCTTTCTATTTAAGCCAGGAAATCTTCATTTTTACTCAATGTTGTAAACTTAAGACACATTCAAATCTCTGTCATTACCTTTTAATAACAAGAAAACAGAAGCACTCATATCGTATGTTTTATGCTTCTACCTCAAAAGTTGAAGGAAAAAAGTCTGTATTAACGACTAACTAGACGACGACGTGTTTGAGTTTTATAGTTTGGGCCTTCAAATATTAGCCCATTAGAATATCATTGGTCCCAAGACTTTTAATTCGTTCCGACAGTGCGTGCGGGCACGTCATGTTCTGACTCTTTTGTTGTTTTTCTTGTATTGTTGCCTTGGTGGACCACTAGCATCTTAAAATATCTCCCGGTGTGAACCAAATGACCTCCTACGTAGGTACGACTTCTTATACTATTACATGTGTAATCATAGATTGACATGTAAATGAACATTTAATTTATTATTCATTGGTTGAGATCTAGAGTCTAATTACAGCCATGGACTTTTCAAATCAAGGGGGTCAATGGTGGATACAGAAGTAAAAGGTTTAAGTTATAAATAGAACAAAATATAAGGAATCATTACAGTTGTTTCGATAAAAACAAAGTGGGGCCAGAGAGAGTTACAACTAATCTGTACTGAGTTGTCTGAGATCTGAGATGAATTTTGATTGTTCTCTCTGGCATTATTAAGTACGTTGACTCGTTCCAATTGGGGAAAAAGGTTAAGTAAAAAAAAAAAAATCTCTCCGGCGAATATTCTCTCCCTCCACGGCACCGATTCCGGCGAATCCCCAATTTCTCGAGCGACGAAGCTTTAATCATAATGACGGTGGATGCTGCATATCTGATGCAGTTTGTGGACGAAACCTCGTTCTACAATCGCATTATTCTGAGTCACCTCTTGCCCTCGAATCTATGGGAACCTTTACCGCATTTCCTCCAGACATGGCTCCGGAATTACCTCGCCGGAACCCTACTCTACTTCATCTCCGGCTTCCTCTGGTGCTTCTACATCTATTACCTCAAAGTCAACGTTTATCTTCCCAAAGGTGATTGCTGCTTCTATTACCGAACTTTAGTGATTGTCGGATTTTCAATTAAAAGGAAATGCCTTTTTTGTATTCAGATGCTATTCCGACAAGAAAGGCAATGCTTTTGCAAATATATGTGGCAATGAAGGCGATGCCGTGGTACACTCTGCTTCCAACTGTTTCAGAGTTTATGATTGAAAGTGGTTGGACCAGATGTTACTCGAGAGTAGGCGAAGTCAGCTGGATCCTCTATTTTGTTTCCATCGCTGTCTACCTTGTTTTTGTTGAGTTTGGTATTTATTGGATGCACAGAGAGCTTCATGACATTAAACCTCTTTATAAGTATCTTCATGCCACCCATCATATCTACAACAAGCAGAACACACTTTCTCCCTTCGCCGGTTAGTATATATTCAGTTAAACACAAAGTAGCTAGAAAGTGTATAAGTTTAATCTTTGTTTCTCTTCTGGTCTTGAACTTATTGGGAAACCTTGAGAAGTCTAATTTATCTACTTCCTCGGATTGTATCTTGGTTTATCCAAGACTGCGGCATTTGACTTCCTTACGTTTTGTTTATTAGGGCTTGCGTTTCATCCATTAGATGGGATACTTCAGGCTGTACCGCATGTGGTAGCTCTGTTTATAGTGCCAATTCATTTCACAACCCATCTAGGTCTTTTGTTTATGGAAGCGATATGGACAGCGAACATCCATGACTGCATCCACGGTAACATTTGGCCTGTGATGGGTGCAGGGTACCATACGATACACCATACTACTTACAAGCATAACTATGGTCACTATACCATATGGATGGATTGGATGTTTGGCTCTCTTAGAGACCCTCTCTTGGAAGAAGTTGATAACAACAAAGACAATTTCAAGAAAGCAGAGTGAGAATGCCCCGTTTTGTTATGTCTTGTGTTTTGCTTGTTTGTTCAAAGTTTAGACTTTCTTCTTCTTCTTCATGTCTCTCTCTCTCTCAACACTTACAATTACTTTTGTTTAGAAAACATTTGACTGCACATTTGCTGTCTCGTTTAATTCAGGTAATGTTTGTTCTTCACAATCCAACTGTTGTGGGGCATTGCCAATATCTCACTGTAATGAGAATCGGAGAAGACTAATATTAATGCAGTTTTTTTTCTCATAACGTAAATCTTAAGTAACAATAAAAGCACATATTGTATATAGTTTGAACTTTACAATCTAATGAATAATGATTTACAGCTACGATTAAGATTGAGATTGAGAAGACATTAAAAACCATGCTAATCACCATAAACCTGGTACAAAAGTGAGAAATATTGTAAGCATCAAGCCATTGTTCAAAGTCTTTGGTAATAGTATCCAACTTTGCAAGAAAAAAATGGTGCCTTAACTTCAACATAATAAGAAATCGTGAGGCTGTATACAGAATATAATTTATTTTGAGGTGATGTACCAATAAATGCATGGAAGAACTAACTTATATACCAAGGAACAGCATGTGCACATATCACAATTCACAAAGCCTATCCGTCTTCTACGCAAATTAAGGTTCTCTCTCTCTCACACTTATAAACTCATTATCGGAGTTTGATTTTGTTCACGGAGGATACATATATGGCGACGCAACATGGCTTTCTTACTCGGTTCGTCAACGAGACAACGTTTTACAACCGGATAGTTCTGAGCCACCTTTTGCCGGCGAATCTATGGGAGCCTTTACCACATTTCCTCCAAACGTGGCTCAGGAACTACCTCGCCGGAAACTTACTTTACTTCATCTCCGGCTTCCTCTGGTGCTTCTACATCTATTACCTCAAACTCAACGTTTACGTTCCTCAAGGTGAGTTTATTTTTAGTTTGTCTTAGTTTTGAGCTCTCTCTCTCTCTTTTTTCTTTTTTTTTTAATGAATCTACATGTTTTTGCAGATTCTATTCCAACAAGAAAGGCAATGATTCTGCAAATATATGTGGCAATGAAGGCTATGCCTTGGTCCACACTTATTCCAACTGTGTCTGAGTATATGATCGAGCGTGGTTGGACTATGTGTTACTCTACACTTGACAAAATCGACTGGTTCCTCTGTTTTGTCTACATTGTGCTCTATCTTGTTTTAGTTGAGTTTATGATCTACTGGGTTCACAAAATGACTCATGACATTAAATTTCTATATAAGCATCTCCATGCAACCCACCATATCTACAACAAGCAAAACACACTCTCCCTTTTGCGGGTATGCCACACTCTCAAGAATCTCTTTCAAAACTTTAAGTTCAATTTAGAGAATTATCGATACATGCATGCATTCAAATAAAACGGTCGGTTCATAAACTAATGATAAATTATTTAAGTGCTCCAATTTAAAACTAGCTGGAGTTAAATGGATTGGTAATTATCCTATATATTGTTTACGTCACGTCGTAAGAGCTTTTATTCTCACAAATTCGTTTTAAAGCTTAAGGTGCATTGTCCATTAACCTGTACATAATTTTAATACTTCGCAATATATATAACTGTTTTTTCTTGGAAATATATATATCATTGCTTTTGCTTAAACGTTTTTGGTTTTTCAGGGCTTGCATTCCATCCATTAGATGGTATACTTCAGGCATTGCCGCATTTGATAGCTTTATTCATAGTGCCCATACATCTCATAACACATTTGAGTCTTTTAATTATGGAAGGGATATGGACAGCTAGCAACCATGATTGTATTAATTGTAACATGTGGCCCATAATGGGTGCAGGATACCATACCATACACCATACCACATACAAGCATAACTATGGCCATTATACCATTTGCATGGATTGGGTGTTTGGCTCACTTAAGGTTCCTTTAGCTGAAGACAGCAGCTTTAACGAGAAAGCAAAGTGAGAATGTTCAACGTACACATTTTTTTGTCCTTCATGTGTTGTTCTACTCGTGAGTCATAAACCTTTGTATTTGTAATATCATTTTGTTGGAATAATAACATGACTGCACTATTGGCTGCAAAGTTTTTGACTTGTCTTTAAAGAATACTTAAAATGGTAAGTAAGGCTGATAACACTAACATCTATAATAGGAAAAGGTTGTACTTTTTCAGCAAATGTAAGAAATCTATAAACATAAAAATACAGAAAATTGAAGGTACCAATAAAAAAATATACATAATTGGTAGCCAAGTCAATGCTCTAATCATCAACTTGTTCCATCCGATCAGGTCACATACAAAGCATTAAAATTGCCGGTTCTCCCACTTGTGGTTGTCCCATGGGTGATTTTTTTTATGTTAGGCCTAAATAATTTAATTAACAAAGGGTCATACATCAGTCGGGCCGTGGGCCTGTTAAAAAGCAACAAAAAATATCTGTGACATGGCATGGATGTAAATAAGAGAGCAGCTAAGGGAGATTCTAGAGAAGAAAAGAATTAGTTGCATTCGATGTACATTGCTCGATCATAACGCCCATCTAAAAAGTAACCTTCAGACATTTGTCACTGTCTCGTAGCAACAAAAGCAAAACATAGAAATAATCGACCTTTGTGGATTCCCCTATTTAAATCACTATCATCATCTTCGACTTCAATTGATCGAGTTTGTTAGAAAAGAAAGCAAGAGAAAAATGGCTATGTCTATGAACCGGATCGTAGTTTCGCCTTCTCAAACTCGTGGATCCAGATCTTCCATTGCTTCTTCCATTCGTTCCTCTACTACGTAAGTTCTCCCCCCTTCATTGTCGAAAATCGGAATTTTTTTTCTTTGCTGGTCTGAGTTTTTAGATTGATGATTAAATCTCTGCATTTCAATCTCTGTTATTTACTAATGCATCGAGTGTTATTGGATGAATCGTACCGGTTAAGAGTTTGGTTGTAACGAACATTTAAACCATAGATAACCAAACTCTTAACCGGTACGATTCATTTAAAAAAAATGTAGTTTGTGTAGTAGTAGCTGCTTAGTCTATAACTTGCTGAAGTCCTGAATTAGAAAAACACTCACTATTTGGTTTGGTTAATTACAGAGAGGTTACTAATGGAAGGAAGCTCTACATCCCTCCACGAGAAGTCCATGTGCAAGTGAAACACTCTATGCCACCACAAAAGCTAGAGATCTTCAAGTCCTTGGAAGGATGGGCTGATGAGACCCTCTTGACTTACTTAAAACCCGTCGAAAAATCATGGCAGCCGACTGATTTTCTCCCGGAACCAGAGACAGAAGGGTTCTATGAACAAGTCAAGGAGTTGAGAGAAAGGTGTAAGGAGCTTCCTGACGAGTATTTCGTGGTGCTTGTTGGTGATATGATTACAGAAGAAGCACTTCCTACTTACCAGACCATGTTGAACACGTTGGATGGTGTTAGGGATGAGACGGGAGCAAGTCCTACTCCTTGGGCGGTGTGGACGAGGGCGTGGACTGCTGAAGAGAATAGGCATGGTGATTTGCTTAATAAGTATCTTTATTTGTCTGGGAGAGTTGATATGAGGCAGATTGAGAAGACTATTCAGTATCTTATTGGTTCTGGAATGGTAAGCTCCTCTGTTGATTTTTTCTTTGAGGTCTTTGATACATATCTGATACTCTGTAGTGAATGGCGACCTAGATGGAAACATAATAGTCCCATACTTATTTGAATTGAGTGTCACGTTTAGATAAGATTGGAACACACGACCATAAACCATGCATCAGTTCTTTTATCTGTGTCGGAACTTATGTTGTCATTTCTAGGTAAAACTTGTCTTCATAGTAACAAGAAGATTTGCAAAATATACATAGTTTATGTTTCAAGTTTCAATTATTTTAAACACTCTTACGAGTTCTGTTTTTTTTTAATGTTAAGTTTGTATTCCAATTTTCCCATATATGAGTGATTGGTTGTTTTTATCTTATTAGGATCCAAAAACTGAAAACAACCCTTACTTGGGTTTCATCTACACTTCCTTTCAAGAAAGAGCGACCTTCATCTCTCATGGAAACACTGCTAGACACGCGAAAGATCTTGGAGATTTGAAACTTGCACAGATATGCGGGACCATTGCTGCTGATGAGAAACGGCATGAGACTGCTTACACCAAGATTGTAGAGAAACTCTTTGAAATCGACGCTGATGGCACCATCTTGGGATTGGCTGATATGATGAAGAAAAAGATCTCAATGCCTGCACATTTAATGTATGATGGCCAAGATGACAACTTGTTTGAGCACTTCTCAACCGTTGCTCAGAGGCTTGGTGTTTACACTGCCAAGGACTATGCTGATATTCTGGAGTTTCTTGTTGAACGGTGGAACGTTGAGACTTTGTCAGGCCTTTCTAGTGAAGGACACAGGGCCCAGGTACATTACCACCATGAAAGTTTCTCCTACTTTTCATTGTATGCGACTCATGATGAAACCTATAAGTTTATGAATACGTCTCAGTCTCTCTTAGTAGGCTTTTTTGGTCTGGAATACTATATTAGCTAGACAACTTGATCTGTTTTGTGTATTTGATTGGGGACATGAACTTGAATTCTGACTCTGTCATGGCATTTTGACAGGACTTCGTCTGCGGATTACCTGCAAGAATCCGGAAGATTGAAGAGAGAGCTCAAGGAAGAGCCAAAGAAGCAGCCAAAAACGTACCATTCAGCTGGGTTTTTGGTCGAGAGATTAGGGCTTAAGTAAACATCTCTCTTTCAAATGATACCCCGAGTAAGCCGCCATAAACATCTTCACGGATGACGTACCAGTCTTTAAGACCACAAAAGTTCTTGTTTGAGTTATGTACAGCTAAAGTTATGTTTCTTGTTTGAGTTAGAGCCAAAGAACATAAAGTGTTTTGAGTGTTAGTAAGTGATAATGTCTGGTTACCACGAAAAAGATTTTAAGAGTTTGGTTTTCTATTTTCGATTCTATTTTTTGTTGTATTAGCACTTAATAATGTTCTCCCATAAGAGAAGAATGGTTTTGTAACTTCAACCTCTAGTTCAAGTAACAACTAAACAAAGCGACCGTTATACTACCATAACAAAGATGAAACTTAAAAAACGTTTTAATACAATCGAAACAGACTAAAGTCTTGGATGAGACCGTAAAGGCAAAACAGAGAGCAAATTGTCTTTTTCTTCCTATGTTACTCCCACATTAAAAGAAGATCTTGTTTTGGTTCTAATCTTTCCCTGAGTTGCTGCTGCTTGCAATCAATAAGGACTTGTATACAAGGAAATACAAGCAATCAGATTCAAAATTTGGTTTCAATGAATTTCAACTGAAGTTCTCATATTTACCTCATGTGACGAATATTATCTTCGATTATGAAGAGCCTCTCTGAAACGTGGCCAAACTCTCTCACCAACTTCTCTAGGCTCTCCTTCACTGCTTTGGCTTCGTCTACATGCTCTTTCATCTCGAAACCGAGGCAACAACCGAGGTATCGATACACCTTCTTAAATCCCTCTAAAAATGCCACCACAGCCGCTGAAACCAGCATGGTTTTTGTAATGGACTTCTCTGTGTTATTGAAGTATTTTTCTATTTGCAACTGAAGTCTTCCATCTTTTAGTTTCTCCCGGTTATCTCCTCAAATGCATTAATATCCTTTTACCACCGCTGCCACCAACAAAATTGATTAGAGATTTTTGGATTGTACAAATACTACACACTGTCATTTTAGATTTATAAAAAAGTCACCATTGATATGAATAGCATGCTATCATCTATACAATATGTATAATAGTGAATATTTATATACATATTTATATATTGGATGTATTTTACAATTTTAGTAAAAATATAGCAACCTTTATGTTTTTTCTTTATTTCTGCTTCCACTTAAAAACAAAATAAAAAATCAATAAATTAAAATTTTGAATTTCTCTTTCCCAATTTATATATATTTGAAACCAACTTCTAAACTAATGAGGGATTATAGGTAGAACAATTTTAGAGGAATTACAAAATTTTGAAATTTCATCGTCATTAGTTTATGAATTTCAAAAATCTAAATAAATTTTATTGTTATTAGGATAAGAATTTTTAGTTTCATTCGCAAACATTTGTTGTTGAATTTTTTTACTTATCATGGATTCAACAATTGTATTCGTATCTAATGTTACTGGGATATAATTTCCATTTATTTATATTTAGAAGACAATTTCAGAATATCTTGTATACTTGTAAGATTCTTAAAATTTATGTAATGAAATACAGACATATAAAACGATTTAAGAACTAATCTAAGGGATTACTTTCAGCCATATTAAAACTAAATTATTAGTGCAATGTGTTGGTTTATTGTTCCCTACTGTTTTTAGAAGGAACAAATAAATCTAGAAATTATTTCGAATAAAATTAAAATTCAGGAATGTCTGATTGTATAAATTCATTTGCGTCAATAAAAATGAAACAATATTGCGGCTTTAAGGTATTCCCTGAACTTAAGGTATTTGGGTCATTGGTACCATGAGAAGGTGGATACTTTTTCTGTCTTGTTTCAATTATGCTTAAGTCTTGTTTATTAGTTTAGAGGATTTCAGATCTGGTCAAAAGGTTTGATTCTTCATATTGAAGCAAAAAGCTTTAAATCTGATCCCATGGTTGTCGATCTCGTCAGATATATGGTTTGTGGAGATGGATTTATGGTTACCGGCTGGTTTGAGTAAGAGCGTGTCAAGTAAGGTTTGGTTGGCTCCGCCGTGGTGTTTACGGCGCGTTTACGGCGCGGATGAACTCCTTCAGAGGTCAATAGCGAGTCTTAGTTGGATCTGAAGTGAGTCTATGGAGCGCTTTTGTGTTGAAATTGCAGAGTAACCTTGTCCAAGTCCAATGACGAGTTTAGTTGGTTTTGGAGAGGGTCGGTGGAACAGAGGCGCTTATGAGACACAATCTACAGCAACGGTTATCCATAACTTATCGGTCCGGTTTGTTTTCTCTATGGCTAGGTTTGATTTCTTTCTAGTTTGTTTAGGCTTTGGTCGGTTATGTCATTAGCTATGTCTTTGTAGTCCTTGCTTGTTAGTTTAAGGAAGGGTGTTCTTGTCTGATTTTGTCTCCGGGATTGTAAGTGTGCAATCGTCGGCTTATGGTTCCAGGGTTGTGTCTTTAAACCGTCGGCTCCAGATTATGGTGTTGTTTCATTACGACAGTCTTTGTAACTTGCCTTTGGCTCTTTTAGTTTGAAATCAATATAACATCAGATGACCAGAAAAAAAAAAGGTATTTGGGTCATCATCGTCAGAAAATCTCTGGACGCAAAGCTCAAAAAACAACACCCTTTCGAACAAGCCACAATCAACATTTTCACCGTCCCTAAAGCACTATTGTGTAGCACCCACCGAGACTCATACACACCGCAACGAGTTTCCATCGGACCGTACCACTGTCTAAAACCCGAGCTTCACGAAACAGAGCGGTACAAATTAGCGATAACTGAAAAATTCCGAAACCAATCTAAATCTTTCAGGTTCCACGAGAAGCTGCGTTCCATGGAGACCAAGATCCGAGCTTGCAATCATAAGTACATCGGATTGAACGAGGAGACTCTGCTGTGGATAATGGCGATAAACTCGTCGTTCCTGATCGAGTTTCTTAAGATTTGTTACAGTTTCGGAAAGCTTGAGGCTTTGATTAACAGAGTTGGTTCTATGACCAAGTCAAGGAGTTGAGAGAAAGGTGTAAGGAGCTTCCTGACGAGTATTTCGTGGTGCTTGTTGGTGATATGATCACTGAAGAAGCACTTCCTACTTACCAGACCATGTTGAATACGTTGGATGGTGTTAGGGATGAGACGGGAGCGAGTCCTACTCCTTGGGCGATTTGGACTAGGGCTTGGACTGCTGAAGAGAATAGGCATGGGGATTTGCTTAATAAGTATCTTTATTTGTCTGGGAGAGTTGATATGAGGCAGATTGAGAAGACTATTCAGTACCTTATTGGTTCTGGAATGGTAAGTTCCTCTTATTACTATTTTTGCTTTAATATCTTTAAAATATCTGTAGTGAAGAGTCGCCCAGGATGGAAATACTTATTTGAATTGAGTGTTTAGTTTGGATAAGATGGAATCACAATCATAAACCAAACATTAGTTTTGTGGCAGTGTAGGATTATGTTGTCATTTTTAGGTAAAGTTTGTCTTCATAGTGAAAAATTTGCAAAAATAAGTGTAGTTTGTATTTCAGGTTCTGAAGATTGATATGATGTGATAACTCTTAGGTGCTAGCACACAAAGGTTAAGTTTGTATTCCTATTTTCCCTTACATGAGTGATTGATTGTTTTTATCTTATTAGGATCCAAAAACTGAAAACAACCCTTACTTGGGTTTCATCTACACTTCCTTTCAAGAAATAGCGACTTTCATATCTCATGGAAACACTGCTAGACACGCGAAAGATCTTGGAGATTTGAAGCTTGCGCAGATATGCGGGACCATTGCTGCTGATGAGAAACGGCATGAGACTGCTTACACCAAGATTGTAGAGAAGCTCTTTGAAATTGGCGCTGATGGCACCATCTTGGGATTGGCTGATATGATGAAGAAAAAGATCTCAATGCCTGCACATTTAATGTATGATGGCCAAGATGATAACCTGTTTGAGCACTTCTCAACCGTTGCTCAGAGGCTTGGTGTTTACACTGCCAAGGATTATGCTGATATTCTAGAGTTTCTTGTTGAACGGTGGAACGTTGAGACTCTGCCAGGCCTTTCTAGTGAAGGACACAGGGCCCAGGTACATTACCACCATGAAAGTTTATCCTTCTTTTCAGTATGACTTGTGATGAAACCAACCTATAAGTTTATGAATACTTGTCTCTTACTAGGTTTCTTCGTCATGAATATAATAATATACTAGCTAGACTGCTTGATCTGTTCTGTGTATTTTACCGGGACATAAACTTGAATTCTGACTCTGTCATGGCATTTGACAGGACTTTGTCTGCGGATTACCTGCAAGAATACGAAGAATTGAAGAGAGAGCTCAAGGAAGAGCTAAAGAAGCAGCCAAAAACGTACCGTTCAGCTGGATTTTTGGTCGAGAGATTATGGCTTAAGTAAACATCTCTCCTTCAAATGATCCCCCCGAGTAAGCCATAAAATATCTTCACCGATGACGTACACCAGTCTTTAAGACCACGAAAGTTCATTTCGATGTTTTGTTTTATACAGAACACTGTAGATAAAGTTATATTTCTTGTTTGAGTTAGTCAGAGACAATAAAATGCTGTTTTGAGTGTTCCTAGTGAGTAGTGATAATGTCTGGTTACCAAGAACAAGCAAGACTTTAAGAGTTTGTTTTTTTATTTTCGAATCTCTTTTTTTGTTGTATACTAAAGCTGTTTGAGTGATCTCTCATAAGTAATTAAGAATGGTTTGTCGTTACCAAACAAAAGTGACCGTTTTATTACTTTTTTTTTGTATCAACATTGAATATTATGTATTTATCATTAAAGATATAAAAAATCCAAAAATATAAAATTTAAAATTTAAAATAAAATAACATCTTCTAAAAATTAGTAACTTCAATTTTAAAATTAGCATTAAAAAAATTATGCAAATTGATGAGTTGGTTTGTTTTAGTAGTAATGGGTCTTTTAATCGACATTAGAGTAAAACTAATTATCTAAAAATAAGTAACTAACGTTTGAAAGTTTAAGTTACTAATCCTTAGATAATGTTATTCTATTTTAAGTTTTACATATTTTTATTTTTGGATTTTTTTTCTATTTTTAATGGTAAATACATAATTTTATTATATATTTGATTTTTATATTCTTAATTTTTACATATAAAGTGTTGATTTTAAAAACAAATCATACTCATATATTTACATAAATTTTTAAAATGCTGAAGTTGCAAATTTAAGTTACTAATTTTTAGATAAATGTATTATATTTTTATTTTTTTCATTTTTGGCTTTTTGAATTTTCAGTGGTAAAATACATCAATTATGTTTAGTTAGTGTAAAAAACACCTACACTAAAGATTTACTGCACTGTAAACAAATGGTTTACTCTATTAAATAAAGTTAGTTTCAGAATTTTTTTCAATAAATACTTAGTTTGAAAGTTTTTATCCAAAATAAATTTAGTTGAGGGATTTAATGTTAATAATCCTTTGTAATTTAAACCACTTGTTCAAGTAACAACACAAAACAAAACTGACAGATTTATTAACCATAACAAAGATGAAACTTAAACAAACCTTTTAAGACAATTTAAACAGAGTAGGAGGTTTGTAAAGTTTAGACGAAACCATAACCATAACTGCAAACACACATTCTTCTATGTTACTCTCACATTAAAAGAAGACGAAAGACTAGATTCAAGATCTTGTATTACTTCTAAATTTTTTATGATCATGTTTCCTAAGAAACCAACTGATTCATCTACCACACAGAGACATAGTTTTGACGAGGCTCGATGGGTCACCAACGTCAAAAAATCTCTCGACGCAGAGCCCCAAGAACACCCTCTCGAACAAGTCACAGTCAGCATTTTCGCTGTCCCTAAAGCATTAATGTGTAGCCACCGAGACTCATACACACCTCAACGAGTCTCTATCGGACCTTACCACTGCCTAAAACCAGAGCTCCACGAAACAGAGAGGTATAAACTAATGATCGCTAGAAAATTTCGAAACCAATCTAAATCTTTCAGGTTTCACGACCTTGTCGAGAATCTTCACCCCATGGAGGTCAAGATCCGAGCTTGCTATCATAAATACATCACGCTTAACGACGAGACTCTGTTGTGGATAATGGCGATAGACTCTTCGTTTTTGATCGAGTTTCTTAAGATTTACAGTTTCAGAAAGGTCGAGACTTTGATTAACAGAGTTGGTCACAACGAGATTCTTAGAGATGTAATGATGTTAGAGAATCAAATCCCGTTTTTCGTTTTGAGGAAAACGTTAGAGTTTCAGCTTGAATCGACGGAATCAGCTGATGATCTTTTAGTCTCTGTTCTCACGGGATTATGCAGAGATCTCTCTCCTCTCGTTATCAAATTCGAAGATGGTGAGATTCTAAAGGCTCAGTTTAATGAGTACAATCATATCTTAGACTTCTTGTATCAAATGACGGTTCCCAGAATCGAAGAAGAAGAAGAGCTTGATGATGAAGAAGAAGAAAACAGAGGCGAAAACAGAGCAAGTAGGTTTCTGCAAGAGATGAAGCTTCAGTTCAAAAGGGTGTTTACGTCTAGACCTGCTGATATAATCTTGAGACTTCCATGGAGAGTGATTTCAAATCTTCCCGGTTTCATAGCTCTGAATTATCTCTTCACCAGACAAGAAAACGAAGCAACAACAACAACAAGACAAGAAACATCATCATCTGTCTTAATCCCCGACATCGAAAAGCCTCCTCTCGTGGAAGAACTCACAATCCCATCAGTCACCGAACTCCACAAAGCAGGAGTCAAGTTCAAACCAACATCAAACGGCAACGTTTCAACGGTAACATTCGACTCAAACACAGGTCACTTTCACCTCCCTGTAATAAACCTAGACATCAACACAGAGACGGTTCTTCGAAACCTAGTCGCTTACGAAGCTTCAAACACTTCAGGACCATTAGTGTTCACTCGTTACACGGAGTTGATAAACGGAATCATCGATTCGGAAGAAGACGTTAGGTTGCTTAGAGAGCAAGGCGTTCTTGTGAGCCGTCTCAAGAGTGATGAAGAAGCTGCAGAGATGTGGAATGGTATGAGCAAATCTGTGAGGTTGACCAAAGTTGGGTTCTTGGATAAGACTATTGAGGATGTTAACCGGTATTATACCGGACGGTGGAAGGTTAAGATTGGGAGATTTGTTGAGGTTTATATGTATGGTTCGTGGAAGATTTTTGCGTGTTTTGCGGCGGTTTTGTTGTTGGTGTTGGTTTCCTTGCAAGTGATTTCGTTGGTGTTTAGCTCCTTGAGGCTGCTTGGGTTAAGAACCGGTTAGGTGAATTGCAATTGGTTATGATGTGATTTAAATTTGGTTTGGTTTTGTTTCACTATGGTTTACTGTGCTCTCGTTGGTGTTTAGGTAAGATTATCAGTGGGACTTCCCTTAAGTTTTGTTTTTGTTTTTTTTTTTTTTTTTGAGTGATTTTTATTAAGGACCAACCCTTAAATAAGAGTTTTTCTCTCTTTTTCTCTTTCGGTCTCCATGTTTTCACCTTAAGAGCCTGTCTTAAGGGATTACCTATAATGTTGCCCTTAAGATTTCTTGGGTTGAGAACCGGTTAGGAAAAACTGCAACTGGTGATCGGTTTTCTGTTGACTTGGGTTATGTTCAACCATGTAAGAAACTGAACCAGCAATGGTTTTGTAGTGTGCTTCTCTTTGTTACTACTGAAAATATTTTTCTATTTGCAACTAAAGTCCTCCAATTTTTAATTTCTTCCGATTATTTCCTCAAATACATTAAAATCGAAATTGAGAGATAGAGAATAGGGTTTTTGGGTTTAGAATCAGAAACTGCAGCTGAAGATAGTCTCTGAGAGAAAGCAGAAATGTTGAGATCCGTTTTGAGGAGATCGCAAAAACTCGCCTTTACTCGAATCTCGACGAAGAAAACTCCATCGCTAACATCCATTTCCAGATTCGCACACGTCAAGTCTTCTCCTCGAAACCTCAGGTTCTTCTCCACGAGCCCTAATGATGAGAACCAAATCTCGTCAGCTTCAGAGCATACCCACGAAGAATCTAATGATTCCGCTTCTGGGTTTTCCGAAAGTGTCGATTTTGATGTGAATGGTACTTCCACAGAAGCCATGGCTGCTGTTGGTGAAGATGGAGAGTCTGAGATTGCTACAGTCGAAGCTTCTGGAGACGGATCCGTTGTAGCTGAGGAGGAGAGCCAATTCGATGAGGAAAAGTTCGAATCTTTACTATCTTTGTTACGTAGTGATGAAGAGTCTTTGGAGTTTGGTCTGAAGGCACTTGATCTCGATTTAAACTCAAATCTTGTGGCCAAAGTGTTTGAATCTCCAGGCATTAAAGGTAAGAGCTTGATTAGGTTTTTGAAGTGGGCAACTAAGAGAGAAGAGATTAATGTCACCACTTCGCTTTTAGAGTCTCTCCTTGTAGTAATCTCTGGTGATAGACGTAGGTTGGATGCTTATGCTTTGTGGGATTTGGTTAAGGAGATTAGTGAGAATGATAATAATAGCCTTGTTTTGAATCTGGAGATAATGAATGATCTGATAGCATTGTTTGGGAAGCTTGGCAAGTCCAAAGCTGCGTTTGATGTGTTTAGTAAAACCGAAGAGCTTGGCTTTACTCTGAATGCGAAGACTTATTATGTGACGTTGGAGGCGCTTTGTAAGCGGTCGTTTATGGATTGGGCATGCGTTGTATGTGAGAAGATGCTCAAGAGTGGTGTGTTACCAGAAGGAGACCAGATTGGTAACATCATCACTTGGTTTTGTAAGGAAGGGAAGGCTGAGGAAGCTTATTCTGTTTATGAACTAGCTAAGGCGAAAGAGAAATTGCCTCCTCCTAGATCTGTTGCTACTCTGATAAGTGCCCTCTGCAAGAACGATGGGAGTGTGGCGTTTGCTCAGGAGATGTTGAATGATTTATCTGGAGAAGCTAGGCGACAGGGGATCAAACCGTTTTCTGATGTGATCCAAAGTTTATGCAGGTTGAAGAATGTTAAAGACGCTAAAAGTTTGGTTGTGGATATGATTTCTAAAGGACCTGCTCCTGGGAATGCGGTTTTCAATTTGATCGTCCATGCTTGTTCGAGAAGCGGAGATCTCGATGAAGCTAAAGAGGTTTTGAAGTTGATGGAGAGTAGAGGTTTGAAACCAGACGTGTACACATACACTGTTATCATCAGCGGTTATGCTAAAGGAGGGATGATGAACGAAGCTCAGGAGATTCTAGCGGAAGCTAAAAAGAAACATAAGAAGCTTAGTTCTGTGTTGTATCACTCACTCATCAGAGGCTACTGCAAGATTGAAGAGTATGAGGAAGCTCTGAAGCTTTTGAATGAAATGGAGAGTTTCGGTGTGAACCCAAGTGCGGATGAGTATAGTAAGCTGATTCAGTCGTTCTGTCTCAAGGCTTTGGATTGGGAGAAAGCAGAGATGCTGTTTGAGGAGATGAAGCAGAAGGGCTTGCACCTCAATGCTATCACTCAGGGGCTGATAAGAGCAGTTAAAGAGATGCAATTTGAAGGCAAGGCAACCGAAGATGCTAATCTACTTGTTGCAGCATAGAACTCAAATTTGATATTTTCCCATTTGTTCTATCAAAATCTGGAATAGCTTTTGAACATGTTTTTATTTTGGTTGTTTGAAACTCCAGACAATGCCTTGTTTGTTCTCCAATAAGGTTTTATGGTGTTATTCAGTTGATGGTTTTTTCATCATAAAGAAGTTGCATATTCAAAAACTTATTAATGATTCAATCCCAATGCTCTTCATTAAAAGCATTATAAATAATACAAAAATATAAAAAACTCAGGAAATTTTGATGCCGACTTTGTTCTTCTAGCCTGAAGAGAGAACAAGACCTTTCCCTTCAACAGCAATGTCATCTTCAACTCTCTTATTTTCATTAACTCTCTCATTGTTCATATAGATACCACCTAGCTTCAACTTTTCCCTAGCTGCAGATTTGCTCTCAAACAACCCTACAGAAACCGACACATCCACAATGGAAACACTATAGGCAGAGTGAGCAAGTTGGTGAATCCGATGCAATTCTCTCAATCAAGCTTTGTCTCAGCTCCTGGTCTTAAAGCCTCTGTTGCCTTGATTGCTTCCTTAAAACCCTATTCACCATGTACAAACCGGGTTACTTCTTCAGCAAGTTTCATTTGAGGGACGCATCCAGGTCTAGTTATAGAACTTATAAGGTGATAACATGGAAGGAGATAGCCATATATTGTAATTTTTAAAATGGTGTATGTGTACATGTCTGGTTTGTTTTAACCGCTGATGATTTTAAAACCCCTTTTAAACTGCAAAACTGAAATAATTTGTTTTAAAGAAATTATATTGTAATTTTAAAAATATAAGTATAGGTTGGTATAGATTGATTTCTTATTGAATAATTCACAAAAATATAGTATTGACCATCTACACAAAACACCTCATATATTTGATATTATAAAAATTGAATAATTCGTGAAATATATTATAATATAAAATATAATATATCCAGTTTTCTGAAAATATGTATTTTCTTGACAAATGAGAATATCTAAGATCTTAAACCTCTTTAATCTTTATCATATGACAGTGTATTATGAATCTATGAAATAAAATAAAATTTTAATATTTCCTAATTTATCATCGAATATGTGGGTTAACCCCTACGAAAATATCGAGTTTTCTGAAAAATTGTATATACTGAAGTTTATGCTATTTATTGTTGATTTAAAATACCTAATCACATTAAAAATATATATTTAATGTATGTTCAAATTTTTTTATGTTCAGTGAACATGGTTTTTAATTTTTCAAGAGTAATTTAATAATCACCTAATTTTGCGGTATAACCCCTATAAAATATGTATTTTCTTGACAAATGAGAATAACTAAGGTATTAAACCTCTTTAATCTTCATCATATGATAGTGTATTATGAATCTATGCAATAAAATAAAAATTTAATATTTTCAAAATTTTCATCGAATATGTGGGTTAATCCCTACGAAAATATCGAGTTTTCTGAAAAATATTATATACTAAAGTTTAGGCTATTTATTGTTTATTAAAATAACCTAATCACATTATAAATATATAATTAAAGTATGTTCAAATTTCTTTTATGTTCNTCATCGAATATGTGGGTTAATCCCTACGAAAATATCGAGTTTTCTGAAAAATATTATATACTAAAGTTTAGGCTATTTATTGTTTATTAAAATAACCTAATCACATTATAAATATATAATTAAAGTATGTTCAAATTTCTTTTATGTTCAGTGAACATGGTTTTTAATTTTTCAAGAGTAATTTAATAATCACCTAATTCAGCGGAATAACCCCTATAAAATATGTTTTTTCTTGAAAAATGGGAATAACTAAGGTCTTAAACCTATTTAATTTTTATCATATGACAGTGTATTATGAATCTATGCAATAAAATAAAAATTTAACATTTTCAAATTTTTCATCGAATATGTGGGTTAACCCCTACGAAAATATCGAGTTTTCTGAAAAATATTATATACTGAAGTATATGCTATTAATTGTTGATTAAAAATACCTAATCACATTATAAATATATATTAATGTATGTTCAAATTTATTAATGGTCAACGAACATGGTTTTTAATTTTTCAATAGTAATTTAATAATCACCTAATTATGCGGAATAACCCCTATAAAATATGTATTTTCTTGATAAATGGGAATAACTAAGCTATTAAACCTCTTTAATCTTCATCATATGACAGTGTATTATGAATCTATGCAATAAAATAAAAATTTAATATTTTCAAATTTTTCATGAATATGTGGGTTAACCCCTACGAAAATATCGAGTTTTCTGAAAATAATATATACTGAATTTTAGGCTATTTATTGTTTATTAAAAACACCTAAACACATTATAAATATATATTTAATGTATGTTCAAATTTTTTTTATGTTCAGTGAACATAGTTTTTAATTTTTCAAGAGTAATTTAATAATCACCTAATTTTGTGGTATAACCCCTATTAAATATGTATTTTCTTGACAAATGGGAATAACTAAGGTATTAAACCTCTTTAATCTTCATCATATGATATTGTATTATGAATCTATGCAATAAAATAAAAATTTAATATTTTCAAAATTTTCATCGAATATGTGGGTTAATCCCTACGAAAATATCGAGTTTTCTGAAAAATATTATATACTAAAGTTTAGGCTATTTATTGTTTATTAAAATAACCTAATCACATTATAAATATATAATTAAAGTATGTTCAAATTTCTTTTATGTTCNTCATCGAATATGTGGGTTAATCCCTACGAAAATATCGAGTTTTCTGAAAAATATTATATACTAAAGTTTAGGCTATTTATTGTTTATTAAAATAACCTAATCACATTATAAATATATAATTAAAGTATGTTCAAATTTCTTTTATGTTCAGTGAACATGGTTTTTAATTTTTCAAGAGTAATTTAATAATCACCTAATTATGCGGAATAACCCCTATAAAATATGTTTTTTTCTTGAAAAATGGGAATAACTAAGGTCTTAAACCTATTTAATTTTTATCATATGACAGTGTATTATGAATATATGCAATAAAATAAAAATTTAACATTTTCAAATTTTTCATCGAATATGTGGGTTAACCCCTACAAAAATATAGAGTTTTCTGAAAAATATTATATAATGAAGTTTAGCCTATTTATTGTTTATTAAAAACACCTAATCACATTATAAATATATAGTTAATATATGTTCAAATTTCTTTTTATGTTCAGTGAACATGGTTTTTAATTTTTCAAGAGTAATTTAATAATCACCTAATTTTGCGTAATAACCCCTATAAAATATGTTTTTTCTTGACAAATGGGAATAAATAAGGTCTTAAACCTATTTAATATTTATCATATGACAGTGTATTATGAATCTATGCAATAAAATAAAAATTTTAAATTTTCAAATTTTTCATCGAATATGTGGGTTAACCCCTACAAAAATATCGAGTTTTCTGAAAAATATTATGTACTGAAGTATATGCTATTAATTGTTGATTAAAAATACTTAATAACATTATAAATACATATTAATGTATGTGCAAATTTATTTTATGGTCAACGAACATGGTTTTTAATTTTTCAAGAGTAATTTAATAGTCACCTAATTATGCGGAATAACCCCTATAAAATATGTATTTTCTTGACAAATGGGAATAACTAAGGTCTTAAACCTCTTTAATATTTATTATATGATAGTGTATTATGAATCTATGCAATAAAACAAAAATTTTATATTTTCTAATTTTTCATCGAATATTTGGGTTAACCCCTACGAAAATATCGAGTTTTCTGAAAAATTGTATATACTGAAGTTTATGCTATTTATTGTTGATTTAAAATACCTAATCATATATATATTACTGTATGTTCAAATTTATTTTATAGTCAGTGAACATGTTTTTTAATTTTTCAAGAGTAATTTAATAATCACCTAATTCTGCGGAATAACTTCTATAAAATATGTATTTTATTGACAAATGGAAATAACTAAGGTATTAAACCTCTTTAATCTTCATCATATGACAGTGTATTATGAATCTATGCAATAAAATAAAAATTTAGTATTTTCAAATTTTTCATGAATATGTGGGTTAACCCCTACGAAAATATCGAGTTTTCTGAAAAATAATATATACTGAAGTTTAGGCTATTTATTGTTTATTAAAAACACCTAAACACATTATAAATATATATTTAATATAAGTTCAAATTTCTTTTATGTTCAGTGGACTTGGTTTTTATTTTTTCAATAGTAATTTAATAATCACCTAATTATGCGGCCCCTATAAAATATGTTTTTTCTTGACAAATGGGAATAACTATAGTATTAAACCTCTTTAATCTTCACCATATGACAGTGTATTAGGAAACTATGAAATAAAATAAAATTTAACATTTTCTAATTAATCGTCGAATATGTGGATTAACCCCTACGAAAATATCGAGTTTTCCCGAAACATATTATATACTGTAGTATATGCTATTTATTTTTGATTTAAAAGACCTAATCACATTAAAAATATATATATTAGTGTATTTTCAAATTTCGATTATAGTCAGTGAACATGTTTTTAAATTTTTCAAAAGTAATTTAATAATCACCTAATTCTGCGGAATAACCCCTATAAAATATGTATTTTCTTGACAAATGGGAATAACTAAGGTCTTAAACCTCTTTAATATTCATCATATGAGAATGTATTATGAATCTATGCAATAAAATAAAAATTTAATATTTTCTAATTTTTCATCGAATATGTGGGTTAACCCCTACGAAAATATCGAGTTTTCTGAAAAATTCTATATACTGAAGCTTATGTTATTTATTGTTGATTTAAAATACATAATCACATTAAAAATATATATTAATTTATTTTCAAATTTCGTTTATAGGCAGTGAACATTTTTTTAAATTTTCAAGAGTAATTTAATAACCACCTAATTCTCCGGAATAACCCCTATAAAATATGTATTTTCTTGACAAATGGTAATAACTAAGGTCTTAAACCTCTTTAATCTTCATCATATGAAAGTGTATTAAGAATCTATGCAATAAAATAAAAATTTATATTTTCTAATTTATCATTGAATATGTGGGTTAACCCCTACGAAAATATAGAGTTTTCTGAAAAATATTATATACTGAAGTTTATGCTATTTTCTTGACAAATGGAAATAACTAAGGTCTTAAT